GCTGGATTTCCTCTGAAATCCAGCCACGCTTGTCATTGCCAGCCTGACCCTGTTGAGCTATGGGTGGGGAGCAAAGTGAAAGTGGGCAGGAAACAGTGGGGTTCTTGCAATACTTGGGCAGTCAGGAGCTGGCTGTTTTCCTCCCTCACTTTCTGGACTGTCTCACACCAAATCTACCCATGCAGCTTCTTTGAGAAACCTGATTCCTAGCCTTTGGCCACGTTACTGGGATGGGGAGTATCGAGGGGCCCGAGAACACAGATTGCCTCAGACCTTCTCGTAGAGTCAGCATCTCCATGCAGGGTGGGACCAGGAGACGCAGCAGCTAGGCAGAGGGAGCCCACGCATCTGGAAAGGCTGACCTAGCTGTTGTGCTGGTCTCCTGGCAACAGCCGCCGGCAGCCCCCAGTGACCACAGCAGTGCTGGGCTGGCCCGGGGCTCTGACCTCATTGTGTTTGCTGTGGCAACAGCCACCGGCAGCTAACTCCCTTTCCTCCAGGAAAGTCAAGTATTTGCATTTCTACTGGCGTGTTTTAAGCTGTCTTGAAACCATCTCCAGGCGTCTTCTCGGCACCTCGGTTCCAAAGTGTCTGAGGAGCCATCCCTCAGAGTCTCGCCTCCCCCCAGCACAAAGGCCAGCTGTTTATGAGTCCAGTCTCTTCCACCCCCATTCTTCCCAGTGAAGCTGTAGGGATTGGTTCTCTTGGCAGTAGCTTCTCTTCTCTGTCCCCTCATCCAGACATGGAGCAAGTCTGCCCCACAGGAAACTTCTAAGAGGTGTTTATCCTTGCCATCAGGATTCAGAGGAGTCAAAATAGGATCACTTCTTACGGGCAAGTGAGCAGTGGAGTGGGCTGTCTGCAGAATGATCTGGGGCCACACTCACCCTAGCATCTACCCATTTTGGCTTTAGTGCAAGGAGAAAACCTCGACAGGAGGAACTCCCAGTGTGTCTTGCTATACCCAGGAACTACCTTTGCTTTGCTTTTGGGAGCAGAGTTCAAGAAGAGCAGTAGGAGAGGGACTTGGCTTGTCGCCTGTAACCTGATGTGCCCCTTTAGAGCCCTTGGTCACCCATGGCCTCTCCTTGGGCCAGTGCTGGAGGCCCAGATCACAGCATGTGCAGACACACCCCATGCACCCTCCCTGGGGAATGGGACCAATGTCTTTGCTACATACGTCAGGGCGAGGGGTCTGGTTGGCATGGAGAACAGCTGTACCCACACCCCAGATCCCTCACAGGTGTGCACTTGGGTCCGTGGCTTCTGACTGACTCACTCCCCGGCTTCATTATATCTCAGAAGAGGCTCTCCTGTGCCTCATCTTTTCCTCAGACTTAAATTTTCTTGGTACTTTCCACTGGGAGACCTCTCCTAGGACAGCATCATCACTGTTGACCTATTTTTTTTCTTTTTTTTTTTTTAAGATTTATTTATTTTTGGGCCTTCCCGCTGGCGCAGCGGTTGAGCGCTGGGTCGCGAAGCTGCCTGCAGCTTCTGCAACACCAGTTCGATCCCCGGCCGCTGGGCGAGGGTCCCATATGGTGCGCAAACCTCTCCTGCCGCCTGCTGCTCCCCTCAGCAGTGTACTTCGTCACTCGGCCTGCTCTGCTCTCCCCTGTGGCTCTGGTGAATTCTCTCACCCTCCCGTGCTTCTGACTGCACCCAGTGCTTGTATAATAAATAAATCTTAAAAAAAAAAAAAAGTTAAAAAAAAAGATTTATTTTTATGCAAGAACCAGGGTGCAGGCCAGATGCACGGGAGGGTGAGAGGATTCACCAGAGACAGAGAGGGGAACAGAACAGGCAAACTGAAGAAATACACTCCTGAGGGAAGCAGCAGGCAAGACAGGAGAGGTCTGCTTCACCAGGTAGAATTCTCGCCGGCCGGCCAGCTGGGATCAAACCCATATTGCAGAGGCTGCAGACAGCTTCACAGTGTGGCACTCAACCGCCTGCGCCACCAAGGAGGCCTGACCTATTTTTAGATCAACCCTATGTATGTTGACTTCTTTTCCTGCCCCTTCCTGCCACATGCCAGATGTTTTCACATCTGCAAGTCCTCACCAGAGTCAGGAGGAGGGGAAAGGAGATGATCCCTGTTTTGTGGATGAAGAAATCTGAGACTCAGACTAATTAGGTGATTGAACTATAGTCTCAGAGATAGTAAAGGAACAGCTGGGATTTCAACCCTGAGCTGCTTCCCCGAAACCTATGTTCTTTCAACCCCACTTCCCTGTCCCTGCCTTTCTGATCACAAGTCACTATAGTTTACCTGTCCCTGGTCTGGGATGCTTCACCCTTGGGCCTCCCTGGTGACATGGGGGTTAAAGTCTCAAGCAAGCTATCATCAGCTACTTGCAACATGAGCTCGATCCCCAGCCAGGGAGCTGACCTACATGGCAAAGCAGATCTCTCCTGCCTCACCTGCTGCTCCCCTCAGCAATGTATTTCAGTACATCTGCCTGTTCTGTTCCCCACTCTGTGTGTGGTGAATCTTCTCACACACACATCCCCCACCACACCTCTGGCCTACACCCCAGTTCTTGTATGCAAAAATAAATAAATCTTAGGGGAAAAAAAAAATCACCCCTCTCCATTCCTCCCCAGTGGCAGCTGTACCCGTGGAGGATCCCATTTCTCACCTTGCTGCCTGTGAGGTCGGTGCGGAGCTAACCAAGGGCCCTCACTCATGATCCACTTCAGTCTTCACAGTGACCATGTGACAGTTGTACTGTTTTCCCCTTTCAGGGCTTGAGACTCAATAAATTCACACTAAGTTGATTTTCCAGATGAGCAGTCTAAGGCTCTCAGTGAAGTTCATCTGTCCAGGGCTACACAGGTGAGGTGGCCAATTCAGATCAGAGCTGAGGTGTGCTGGGCCTTCCTTCACACCAGCCTGCCTGAGTCAAGGCAGCCCCCACCCTGGAGGCCTCTGTAACCCCATTCAGGGAGTTCCTCATGAGTGGTCAGTTGTTTTGTCATTACCTGTTTTGTCCTTACTCAGTCCTTACCCGTCCCATGTGGGAGCCTCTTCTTTCCACTTCACAGCGGAAGCATCTCTGAAGACGGCCAGAGTGAGTTAATGGCCACACCAGGCCTTCACGGGTTTTTTCCACCCTGCCAGGCTGTGTCTTCAGGGTACATCTTTATCTATCTATCTATCTATCTATTTATTATTTATGCATACAAGAACTGAGTTGTAGAACAGAGGTGCAGCTGGCGAGAGCATTTACCAGACACAGATTGGGGAGCAGAACAGGTGAATTTACTGAAATACGCTGCTGAGGGGAGCAGCAGGCAAGACAGGAGAGGTCTGCTGTACCATGTGGGTCAGCGGCCTAGCAAGGGATCGAACTCATGCCACAGTGGCTGCTAATAGCTTGATAGCACTGAGACTTTTAACTTCTGCACCACCATGGAGACCCCCAGGCTACACTTTTTTTAACCACTCTACCATGTCCCTTTGTAAATGGTTCTTCCCTTTTTGCACCCAGGCAGAGACACTGAAAATTTGTTTAAAAGAAGTGTTGCCCATCAGACCAGTTCTGTGGAATCTCTGAGTTTAGATTGTGGAGACCCATATAGGTACCTGGGTCACATCTCCAAAGATTGATATTTGGAAAGTCTCCACTGGTTTTAAGCTGATCTTTTCTGGTAGAGTCCAGATGATTCCAGGGCCCAGGCTGAATCTGTGGAGTCCTGGGTCCAGTGGGCCTGGCACAGAGAGGATGTGGGTAAATGGAGGCTTTTCACTATCAGATATGTCTGAGAACACCAGTCTGTGCCAGCACAGCCCAGTGTACCTCCCCGTCACTCAGAGGGAGGGAAGAAAACTGCGTCTGAAAATTACAGACTATTGGGCCTCCCTGGTGGTGCAGGGGTTAAAGACAGCACTATCAAGTTACCTCCAGCTGCCACAGCACAAGTTCAATCCCCAGTCGGCCAGGGAGCTACTTATATGGCGCAGCAGACCCCTCCTGGCTTGCCCGCTGCTCTCCTTAGCAGTGTACTTCGATCAATCTGCCTGTTCTGTTCCCCACTCTGTCTCTGGTGCATCCTCTCATCCCCTGTACCTCTGGCCTGCACCCCAGTTCTTATATGCATAAATAAATAAATCTTTTTTTTTTTAAAAGAAAACTACAGGGACCTCCCCGATGGCGCAGCAGTTGATCCCCAGCCACCGGGTGAGGGTCCCACATGGCGCGCAGACCTCTCCTGCCTCCCACTGCTCCCCTCAGCAGTGTACTTCATCAGTCTGCCTGCTCTGCTCTCCACTCTGACTCTGGTGAATTCTCTCACCCTCCCACACTTGTGACTGTACCCAGTGCTCGTATAAATAAATAAATAAACCTTTAAAAAAAAATAAAAAGTAAACTACAAACAATTGGCTTCACCAGACTTTCTGGTTAGAAGTTTGTAGATGAGTGTAATGCTTCAGAGAAGACTTAAGGACTATAGAAAACCACAGTATTGATGAAAACTACCTGTCAGAGGTCTGGTTGATTGTGGCACCATTCTGTAAATACTATTCAGCCGTTAAAAGAACACTGGCACAGAAAAATGTTAGGAAAACATTGCTGAAAACAGACTTCAGAAGAATGTAGAGTAGAATTCCATTCATGTTAAAAGTCACACAGGTAATCTCTACGAGTACACATAAGAAATATGATACAGATGATCGCTGGCAGTAGGCAGATGAGATCTAAACTTTATACTTTGTACTCTGAACTTTTAACTGTGAGTGGGTTTTACTTACCAAGAATAAATAGGCTTAAAAAGCAAAGTCTGATCATTAGGAATCTCTTATCTTAGGTCTTTCAGCAGCCACTTTCCCAAGTTTGTTTATTTTCTAAAGGTGGAATCAAGAATCTTAAAAGTGAAGGAGAGAGACTGATGAGTGTCTCTGGTTCCCTCAACGCCTGGCACACTTAAAGTTTCACCAGGGGAGAACCAGCCTGTGATTCATGGTCTTTCACCTCTTCCATTACCCACCCTAGACAAATGTTTATGGGTCAGCCCAGAGACGAAAAATGAGACCGTTTGAAGGCTTCCAGCGCAAGGCTATTGTCATTTGTCCCACCGACGAGGACCTGAAAGACCGAACCATAAAGCGCACTGACGAAGAAGGGAAGGATGTCCCAGACCACGCAGTCCTGGAGATGAAAGGTAGGGGGGAGCGGCTCCCAGGAGCACGCCACCACCAAGCCCCTTACGCGGGCTTTTCTTCCCCAGCGCTGCGATTCTTTCTCTGGCCTTGCTTTTTCCTTCTTTAATTCTGCCTTGTTCCTTCCCTCTAGTGCAGTGTGAGTAGAAAGACTGCCAGTGTCTCCTGTGGCAGGCTTGTCAGACTTGACGGGACTGGGGCTGGGAGAAGAGGTGTAGGAGCAATGCTAGGAGACCTGCAGGGTCACCTGCCTCTGGCAGGCCCTGGTTGGGCTGACTAAGCAAGCCTGTTTGCTCCTCTGTAAAAGTAAGGATGATGATTCCACTTGGATGAGGCAGAAGGGACTGTTCATAGACACTAGTTTAGTGAGACTTAGCCACCTTTTTTTATTATTATTAAGTGTATGTATATATACACATATATTTTACATTTTTGTATAAGCTTTGATTTTTCCTCTCATAAAATTCCAGTTACCCATGGACCATCACCATAGTCTCTTGTGCTTTCCCCGCCTCTGTTTTGATCCCTCTTCCTCCCCATCCCCTACTGTATGTCTGATTTATAGTTTGCCTGCTATTTTGTCTTTCTTTTTTTCCTTTCCCTATCCCATGTTTGGTTTCCCTATATACCTCCTCTAAGTGAAACCATCTGATACTTTTCTTTTTCCTTCTGACTTATTTCACTGAGCATAATCCCTTCCAGCTCCATCCATGTTGCTGCGAGTATTAGCCACCTTTTCAAGAAAGGGAGGAGAGGATATTTGTTAGCTCCTGACCATTGTCAGAAGGATTGAGGTTGGGGCTCTGTTTACTTTTGTTGCCCACTATTTCAGTCTGCTCTGTTTCTCCCATCTGGCAGACCAATGTCCTGGGGGTGGAGGGGACCAGACCTCAGAAGGTACTAAACCGCCCTCCTTGCTCCTTTTGGGGCCCTCCCTTCTTCCTAGCCAACTTCACATTACCTGATGTTGGGGACTTCCTGGATGAGGTGCTGTTCATTGAGCTTCAGCGAGAGGAAGCAGACAAGCTGGTGAGACAATACAACGAGGAAGGCCGCAAGGCTGGGCCACCCCCTGAGAAGCGCTTTGACAACCGAGGCAGTGGTGGCTTCCGGGGCCGCGGGGGTGGCGGTGGTTTCCAGCGCTATGACAACCGAGGTCCACCTGGGGGCAACCGAGGAGGCTTCCAGAACCGAGGAGGCGGCAGTGGTGGAGGAGGCAACTACCGAGGAGGTGAGACATCTCTCTCTCTCTCTCTCTCTCTCTCTCTCACACACACACACACACCGCGCCCCCCCCCCTCCCCCCGTTGGTTCCCAAGTCAAGGTTGGGCCTTATGATTGATTGTTTATTCTGTCAGCAGATGAAGTTGACCTGCTACCAGTGGGGTCCCCACTCTGGTAGGGAACCAAGAGGAGTCAGACTGGGAGCTTAGGAAACCCTCTCTACCCACCGCACGCCCCCGTCCCACTTCCCATGGTGTTGTTCCCCAAGCCCTTACCCATTTGTCATGGTGCTGCCATTTTTGTGAGTCTTTGTGCCATCTGACCAGGGGCCCCTTGAGAAGAGGAGCTAGACTGACTGTACACCTAGTCTTGGGCCCCAGCTTAGGACCTAACACAAGGCAAACATTAGGACTATTTTTGGGTTTTGTTTGTAAGAGAATTGGAGAAATATAACAGAAAGTTTCATTTGCTCAAGAGTCACCTGGCTAAATCCAGAGGTGGAATCAAGTGAGCCAAAGCCTACTAAGGCCCTAAGTTCTGAAGCAGTGTATTATGAATTCACAAACCTGCCCTTTTAGATCTGTTTTGGTTGTGTTCTAGATTGTTCTGAGGAAAGCCATGACCCAGACAGACATAACATCCTGTAGTGATGTCCAGAAAGGTTCTTGGCCTAATGGGAAAGTTTAGGGAAGTGGTGGGGATATTGCACACGAGTGACAGCTGCAGGGGGGTCAGGGCTCCAGAAAGGCCTGAGACGCTGATGTCAGCTTAGGTCCTAAACCCCAGTAGGAATTGGACAGGAGGAGTATTCCAGGCCTGACAGCCAGCTGCACAGAAGCTTAGGAGAGGCTGGCCCATTTGACCAAGTCTGAAGATGACTGGCCCTGCTGCTAGCACCCCTTCTTTGTTCAACAACTGTTGAGATGCCGGTGACATATTGGAAACCCTGGTCTGCCTCATGGGCTCACAGTTCAATGGACAGGGAAAACCTGTCACAGATAGTGATGATTTGAGTGTTGCCAGGTCTGGCACAGGGGAGCACACCCAGGGTCTAGGGAAGCCCAGAGGGGGTGCTTTATTTGTTCACTTGAAATGAGCTCCTCTCTACCCAGTCATGCTGGGACCACAGTGTCACCAAGGCAGCCAGTCTTGACAAACCTATGTTGAGAATGATGGAGGTGTCTGGTTTCTCCAATTCAGGTTTCAACCGCAGTGGAGGTGGTGGCTACAACCATAATCGCTGGGGTAACAGCAACCGGGACAACAACAACTCCAACAACAGAGGCAGCTACAACCGGGCTCCCCAGCAGCAGCCACCCCCACAGCAGCCACCGCCCCCACAGCCGCCACCACAACAACCACCACCGCCACCCAGCTACAGCCCTGCTCGGAACCCCCCTGGGGCCAGTGGCTACAACAAGAACAGCAACATCCCTGGCTCCAGCGCCAATACCAGCACCCCCACCATCAGCAGCTACAGCCCTCCACAGGTGAGAGACTGAGCATGCGTGTGTGAGTGTAGGAGACGGGGTGGGACCAGGGACGTTGCCAACACTGCTCCAGCCACAACTCTCTACTCTGCTCTCTGATCCTGCCCTTCCCTCTCCCTGGCAGTGCTTTGGGCTGGGATAGGCTATAGACATTCCCAGATCCCATCCCAACCCAGAGCAAACCGGAAACCTACCTGTTCTTCTCCATCTCCCTTTGGCACCAGCTGTAAGCTTTGGTTTCTCGAGCAAGTACATGCCTTTTGGCTGTGTTGTGTGGCTGGCCTCTCTGAATCCTCAACAAAGATTAAATTAGAATTACCTGTTGTATAGGCCAGGTGGGCTGACCAACCTTGTCTTCAGGATGTGGAAGTTAAGCCCCAAGGTTGCTGAGTACTAACCCTCTGCCAAAAGCTTCCCTGGAGCTCCTCCAGTCTCACATGCAGATGTTAGAAGTTGTTGTTTGGGCTCTGGTACACATAGGCCCGGTAACCAGAGTGGTTTCTATTTACCGCAAGTGTTCTGTGCTGCTTGCATGCGCGAGGCCTAAGGACAGCTGCAGACAGGAATGGTTCCCAGTCCTGATCTAACAGTATTTCCTAGACAGAGCTGGATAGACACAGATTCAAACCCAGCCCCACGATGTCTGGTTTTGTGATCTTGGAAAAAGATCTTCACCTCTCAGGACCTCATGTTTCTCATAAAAAACTAGAGTTGTAAGTAGACTCACTTCTGAGGTTTGTGAGCCTCGGGAAGGTACAGTTATTGGGCCCAGGTTACCGCCTTGAGCCTGAGCTTCCTTCTTTAAAATAAGACTAATGGAACCCACCTCAAGAGTTGATGAGAGAATTAGGGAATTAATGATATGGCTTGGACGTGGAACACACTTAGAAAATCGCCACTGCTGGTTTTTCTTGAATACCCAGTGGTTGTGCACCAAAGCCAACTCAGTGGGGTAACTCTGTTGTCATTCTCATTTGACAGAAGAGAATTGCTGTGGGCCTTGTTCCCAGGGTCTGGGACATGGGGTTAGAGTTTGGAACACAGCCCTGGGCTTGCCTTCATCCTACATTGTCTTGCCACAGAGCTGACCCACCTCCACCAGGGATGTCCTTTATGGGACCTTCCTCCAGCCCTGCCGAGCAAGCTGTTTTTTAGAGCATCGTTTTTTCCCTCCACTTTGCAGCCGAGTTATAGCCAGCCACCCTACAACCAGGGAGGTTACAGCCAGGGCTACACGGCCCCACCACCTCCGCCTCCGCCACCACCTGCCTACAACTACGGGAGCTACGGCGGCTACAATCCAGCCCCCTATACCCCACCACCACCCCCCACTGCACAGACCTACCCCCAGCCCAGCTATAATCAGTATCAGCAGGTAAGTACCAGATGGGAGGCCAGTGGGATGGAGACTTCCAGGGTCCCCATATAGATGTGTGTTCCCAGATGAATCCCTGCTTATTACCCTTAAAAAAATGTTAACTTGCTGACCTCACACTGTTATTTGTGTGGTACAACCATCCCATTTGGTAATCATTTCTGCTCTGGCTGCTAAAGCACTGGTATTCAAGCTCCTCTCCACCAGGCAGCAAGCAGAGGGCATAACTGGGCTGCCAAATCCTGCTTCAGCACCATGGCCAGTGTCCACTTGGTGATCAGGCTGCCACACCTGTTTTAAGTGTTTTGAATGTGGCATCTACCTATACCTAAAAGGGCACAAGGTTGGCAAGCCAGGATTCCTGGGCATCATTGCTAACGGCCTATCCATTTGGCATCAGGCACTTAGCCTCCCAAAGCCTGATTTCTCTGTCAGGGGACCCACTTGCCTGCTGTTGTCACTGCATCTGTCTCTACCCTGGGCCAGTGTGGGGGAGGGGAAGAACTGCACATGGGTCTAGATGAAGGACAACCAGGTGCTCTTGGTTTCTTTCTCCCCAGTATGCCCAGCAGTGGAACCAGTACTATCAAAACCAGGGCCAGTGGCCGCCATACTACGGGAACTACGACTATGGGAGTTACTCCGGGAGCACACAAGGGGGCACAAGCACACAGTAGCCATGCTCCCGTGGCCCCCAAAGGCCCCTGCCGGCTTCCTCCACCAGCGCCCACCTCGGCCCTCTCGTCTGCCCCCACCGGGTCCCTTGGTGCTGGGGAACGGGGTCATCCCAGGGCTGCCTCCCTCTGGCCCATTGCCTCCCCTAAGAGGGGCTTCTGCCCCCATATGGGGCCAGGCATTTTTCTCTGGATTCAAACAGGCAACAATGACCTTTCATTTTCTTTTTGTCCCCCTACCTCCCTTCTCCACATCCTTCTCCTTTCTTCCTTTTTGACTAAAGTACACCCCCCACACACACAGCCCTTGGTCATACAGTGAGGCTGTGGTGGCTGAGGGGAAGACCCCTTCCTGTCCACTTACCCCAGCCCTGCTCTAGCCCCTCAGCTTCCCAGATCTTCATGCAGTTGGTTGTAAATTCTTCCAAAAGCTGTTTTTCTGTCTACTTTTCAGGATTAAAAAAAAAAATCAAAAACTTTAAAAAAAAAGTTTAAAAAGCAAAACACGGAGGCAGGAAGCAATGATTTTTTTTTGGGGTAATTATGCTTTTTTTTAATTTTTAGAATTTGTCCATTTTTACTGTGGGTCAGCTGTTGGTATGTCATCAAGATAACCATTTCTTTGCTTAGTTCAGGTGACCCAGGAAGAGCCACACCCTCAAAACAAAACACATAAAAGGAGAGATTGATCTTGAACCTAACTTTTTATACGACTTCTCAGTTTCCCATAACTTTGCACACAAGCTTCTGTGTTGAGTTGAATTGTAACTGCTTTTTGTATTTGGAGAGAGTGTGACTATTGAACTTGAAACCTTTTATTCCAGGCGTCTTGGTAGTTTCTGGTGGGATTAAGCGCGTGAGAGGGAAGAAGGGGAGGTGGGGCGCCTGCCCTTCAAAACATGAGTTTTCTCCCGCAGCCTCATCTCCAGAGGTCTCCTAGGTGCCTGACCTAAAAGTTCTCCTACAGTGATCCTTTTTGATTATTTTTACTTCCCCTTGACCCATATGTTTTAACATGATTTTAACAAACTGCACTTACAAAGAAATGTGTTTGCCCTGTTTTGTTTTCTTTCAATAAATGACATGGCACCTCCTAATAGGAAGGAAGCAGGGTTGAAATCCTGAAGTGTTACTACAGTTGGCCTTCAATTGGGGTGGGGCCTTTCCAAGAGGATGTTATTTACTCATTCATTAAACAGACACTTACTGAGGGATTCGTGTGCCTGGCCCCATTTTTAGTTCTGGGGTTACCCCTGTAAGCCCAGGGTCCTCAATTTGAAATCCATGAGTTCATTTTTTAAATGGTTTTTTCTGGTCCCTGGCTTCAACTCAGTTCTAAATCCCTGTAGGAACTCACGAGTAGAGAGCATGGCATAGATCACTAGATTGGAGCAAGGTAGAGCAACAGGGTGGAAACCAGGGCTGGTCTGTTGGGGGTGATTGTGAGGCAGCTGCACACCCGCCTTAGGCACAACCTGCATCATTTGGGATAGCCCCTGCCTGTGTTCCAAGTCCAGGGTTGTGGGAGTTCTAGGAGCTGCTTTATCCATCTAATATGTGCTAGGTACTTGATCTGTTCCTCACCCTTTTCTGGGTGGTACTAGGACACAGCATGGAGAAGGCAGTCCTGGACCCTGTTCTCACAGGACACCCAGTTCACAGGTAATAGACTCGTCAAGCATCACAGTTCCATGCTGTCAGCTACTAGCCTGGGCGGGGTGTGGTGAGGATAGGGCTTCCTAAAGAAGGGAAAAAAATAAATAGAGTGAGAGACATCATCCTCTTTGCTAAGCAATTTAAATTGTTCCTTCATCCCCTCTAGACATGCTATCTTCTGGCCTTTCATGAGGGACATCCCCAGGTCAGCCCCAATATCATTTTTCACAGGAAGAAATCTCAGGGTGCAGAAAGACAGAAGGCTAGCTAGTTTTTACATCAGGGGTGTAACATCTGGATGTAAGGGTCCAAAGTTGGTGACTTGTTGGGCTAGAAAGGGCCCCAGAATGCCTCCCAACTCTCCCCTGGGAGAACCACTGGAAGGGCCTTGACCACTCTGGGAAGTCCTGGCTCTTGTCACTGCTCATCCATGTGTTGGGCAACAGCACCCTCTGCTGGTCTCTTCTGGTAAGACTAGTCCCTACCAGGGTTGTGTGTTAGATCTTAAGCCTTGGCCTCTGCTCCAGATGCTTATCCTGGGAATGCAAGTTGGTAAGTTATTTCTTTGTTCCTGGACACAGTGCTGGATGGCTGCACCAATCTCCATAGTTCCTGATCCTGATGGCCCTTGCGCCCTACAGGATAAAGAAGCTCTGCATGCCTGGCCCCTGGTACTCTCCCTGGCTTTACCCCTTGCCACTTCTTTGAATTTCACATCAGTGGTTCTCTTGTTCTGAGGGAATTACAGATCCATTTGGGGGTATAAGAAAATGCCAGGATTCTCTACCTTGGAAAGTGTACATCTACACATAGTAACTGTCGGTGAGGTTTGCAAGCCTCTGCAGCAAAATCTTGGTCTTCAAGTTAGAAGTATGGGCTTATTGACCATACTGAAGTCCTTGCAACACCACAACTATCAGTGCCTCCCTGCCCCTCTGGGTCTTTGCCTCGCACATCCTGAAACCCTCTCCTCCCTCTCTGCTGCTTAATTCACACCCTTCAGGCATTGACTGGAACAGGCATGCCCTTCCCTGACACTCCAGGCTGGAGAAAGCAGCTCCCTTAGCTCCCTGGATCAGACAGCCCTGGTCACAAAGGCTGGCCGCTGCTGACATGTCTGTCACTGTTGGTAACATGTCAGCATGAGTCCCTTACCCATCACCTAGGACAAATCGGTACTGTGGTTGTCTTCCTCCGGCCTCTGGGAACACAAAGTGTGAGAGGGAGGGGCTCTAGCTTGGAGGTAACCATCCATATGCTAACCAGAGTCTGGGTGAAATGACAGAAGCAAGAGTCAAGGCTTAGTAAATGTACTTTGAAGTGGTAAATGAAGAGGACAGACAGGAACTAAACCAGAAAGCACACCCTCAAGAGGCAGCTGAGGGTGGTCATTCAGCCATCGGTTCCACAATTAGTATGCCCGGCTCTGAAGGCACAGCAGTGGGCAGTGAGTCAGATTGCTTCTGACTTTACAAATTCGGACAGTGGAGGCGGAAGGGCATCTCTATCCCTGGCGCCCTTTTCCTTTCTGACTCAGGGTGGGCCCAAAGGAGGGTCGCCTGCGCTTGGGAAGGTCTACGTTCGGCCCGGAACTTTGGTTCTGGGTGCGGTGCGCCACCCGGACTCCGGAGTGTACTCAGCCGGAAGTGGCTGCTGACCGTGGGGCTGGGGCTGGCGTGTGGACCCTGCGGCGGCGGTTAAGACCTGAAGAATTAGGATGGAGGCCGTGGCGACCGCGGCGGCGGCGGCGACGACACCGAAGGAGGCAGATGAAGGTGCGGGGCTTGTACGTGGAGGCGGCGGGAGGGTGAGGCCGCGGTGTCACGGGGAAATGATTCCCCGTGGACGCGGAGGACGCTTTATAGGGGGACACCCGCCCTGGGCCTTGCTGCCCCGGGCCCCCTTCCCTGAAATGAACCTCTGCCGAGTTCCAGGCCCGCTCGCTCCAGGATACTCCGGTTCCCAAGTCTCTGCTCTGTCCCGGGCTAACTCTCCCCTCGTCCCAGCCAGCCCAGCTTCTCGCTGCTTCCGTGTACCCACCTGGCCCTGGCGCCGGCCTGACCCCCCCCCCCCCGCCCCGTGCTCACTGCTCGTGCAGGTCCCGCAGCGCCCCCGTTTCACCTGGATTCCCCTTCCCTGAGGCTCCTCAGAGCCCTTTCTTTTCTGTGCTCCCCCCCATGTCCCTTTCATCACGTCTCTTGTTTCTCCTGATGCCTCGTTTCTCCTGATGCCTTCCTATCAGTTTCTAAAATGCTTTTGTTTTGCTCATCTTAAAATTCATCCCGCTGCTTCAGAGTAAACCGATGTCGGGTTGTTACAGGACAGGGAGAGGGGCAGCCCAAACCCCGCAAACCTGCCTATTCTAAATGGGTTCTGCCATCCGCCGCATCAACACAAAACATATGAGACTTTAATGGGAAGGAACTTTAATAAAAGTAGGAAACAATGCAGGTAAGGCAAAGAGTCTAGTTTCTAAATGAAGCACCCAAAGTTACCCGCCCCCTCGTGGGTAAAAGTCCATCCATATGGGAATGGCGCAGAGCAAGGCCCCAAAGCCTGCCACAAGTCTAAAGCAACTTCCAGTGGGGACCCACAGAAAAGGGTCAAAAACAACCAGACAAGCCCAGAAGGAAAAGAGCAAAATCAACATCAAGATAAAAGCTGCCATTGTCACCTCCCCATGGGTCTCACCCACATCTGTGTCACCCAGTCCACGACCAAAAGACAAGCACAGTTTCTTCACGTGTCTCTAGGCTTCTTGAGCCTCCTCCAGGTCTCCTGGCTCCATCCTGCTTCCTCTCCTCAGTCTCTTCTGCTGCTTCTCTCCCTGCTCAGCTCCACCCTCCCTTGGGTGGGGCAGGGAACCTCCCCCTTTCCTGGAGACCACCCTGTTACAGGGTGAGGTGTGGTTGAGAGGTTGGCTAAAACATCACCGGCCAAGGATTGATCATTGTTTAAGCTGAATAATGGCGGTGTGTGGAGTGAAGGGGTGATTGTACTCTCTTTTGTGTATGTTTGAAATTTTTCCATAATAAAAAAGTGTTTTTTTTAAAACTTAAAAAGAAACATCTATTGCTTGATTCCGCTGCCTTCCAGACACCATCTGTTTTCTCCAGAATCATCTGTGCTTGTCTGTTTCCTCACCTCCCACCCACTGCAGTCTGGCTTTTACCTTCAGAAACTGCTGTTTGGTGTCCCCAGTCACCTTCCTGAGCAGTTAAACCAAGTCACCGCATTCAGCTTTTTTTAAAAAAAAAAAAAAGATTTATTTATGTATGTATGCAAGAGCTGGGGTGTAGGCCAGAGGTGCAGTGGAGGGAGGGTGGTGGTGAAAGGATTCACTGGAGACAGAGTGGGGAGCAGAACAAGCGGATCTACTGAAATACACTGCTGAGGGGAGCATTGGGCCAGACAGGAGAGATCTGCACCATGTGGGTTAGCTCCCTAGCTGGGATGGAACTCATACCACAGTGGCTGTCAATAGCTTCATAGCACTGAGACTTTAACCCCTGCGCCACCAGGGAGGCCCCGCACTCAGCTTTTTCTTACTAGGCTACTTGGAGAACTCAGTGCCACTGACCATCCTCCATCCTTTTTGCAAGTTTTCCCCTCATGTTTGTGACACCCTCCAATTTCCTCTGAAGCTTCTCCTTCTCAGCCTCTCTTTGTTTTAAGGGGTTCTGTAGCAAATGCCCACTGGGTGATTGAAAACAATAAAAAGTTGGGGGGCCTTCTTGGTGGCACAAGGAATTAAGTCAGCCCTATGAAGCTATCAGCAGCCACTGCAGCACAAGTTCGATCCCTGGCCAGGGAGCTGACCCACACATGGCGCAGCAGACCTCTCCGGTCTCACCCGCTGCGCCCCTCAGCAGTGTATTTCAGTTGATCCGCCTGTTCTGTTCCCCACTCTGTCTCTGGTGAAACCTTTCACCCCCCACACCTCTGACCTATACCCCAGTTCTTATATGCATAAATAAGTAAAAGTAAATCTTAAAAAAAAAAAAAAAAAACAATGTAAAGTTGTTCTTTTCTGGTTTTGGAGGCTGGAAGTCTAAAATCAGTATCAGCAGGCTGAAGCCAGGGTGTCAGCAGGACTTACTCCAGCTCTGGTGGCTCCTGGCATTCCTTAACTTATGACCACATCACTCACCTCTGCTTCCTTTCATGTTCATGTTGCCTTCTGTTGGGTGTCAAATCTCCCTCAGCCTCTCTCTTACAGGACACTTCAGTTTGCATTTAAGGTCCAGGAGGATAATGAAGATAATGTTCTCATCTCAAGATCCTTTACCTAAACACATCTGCAAAGATCATTTGTTTTTCCTTTTTCTTTCTTTTTTTCCCCACACATAAGGGAACAGTCAAAGGTTCTAGGAATTAAGTGCTATTTAAAAAAAAAAAAAAAGATTTTATTTATTCTTGTGTAGAAGAACTGGGGTGCAGGCCAGAGGTACTGGGGCATAGGGGGTTCACCAGAGACAGAGTGTGGAGCAGAATAGGCAGATCCACCAAAATACACTGCTAAGGGGAGCAGCAGGCAAGACAGGAGAGGCCTGCTGCACCATATGTGGGTCAGCTCCCTGGCCAGGCATCAAACTCTGGCTGTCACTGTGATAGCACTAAGACTTAACCCCTAGGCTACCAGGGAGGACCCAAGAAGTGACACATTTTGGGGGGCCATTTCTTAGCCTCTTGCAGCTTCCTTCATAGACGTATCTTGTCTCCCAATCAGGGCTCTATCCTAACCCTCATCATCGCTCACACACTCTCCTCATGCCCTCCGGCGACCTCCCATTTCCTTTGTCTCCAGTTCTAGTCTTGACTGGATGAGATCCACAACTCTCCCAAGCCTAGTACTTCTCTCCTGGGAGGTGTCTAGCCCCATGTACCAGCAGACTCTTAGATGCCTCCCCTTCGATGTCACCCATCATGCCTTCTTGTCCCATGTTGGCCTCCACATTTCCTCCCAAACCTGTTCCTGTCCATGTCTCTGTTTCAGGCATAGTTTGGCAAGTCACTGAGCCAGAGCCCTGAAACCTAATTGGGTATTTCCCTCACCTCCAGCCCTTCAGCCCCCTGGCTTGTCTATTCTGCCTCCTGAGCATCTGGCTAGCCAGCCCTCTCCTCCTGTCCCCAACTAGAGAGCCCCTGCCCTGTCCAGCTCAGATTTCTCTTGCCTCAGAAATTGAAATCCATTACATCTGTAGCCATAAGCCCTTCCCAGCCAAGCTGCCTGTGGGAGTTGTCGGTACTTTATGTCTTCACTTACTTCTTGCTCCCATTCCAACACCTTCAAGAAACAGCTTGCGTGCCTCCTTTGGTGGCGCAGGAGGTTGAGCACCATGCTGTGAAGCTGTCCACAGCCTCTGCAGTGCCGGGCCTCTCCTGTCTCGCCCACTGCTCCCCTCAGCAGTGGATTTCGTCAGTCTGCCTGTTCTGTTCCTCACTGTCTCTGGTGAATCCTCTCACCCTCCCATGCATCTGGCCTGTACCCCAGTTCTTGTATAAATAAATAAATAAATAAATAAATAAATAAATAAATAAATAAATCTTTTTTTAAAAAAAGAAAACAGCTTGCAGTAAGATTTGCCTAGTGCACAACTTTCCTCTTACAGTGCCTGTGTTGTTTTTGACCTTGCCTTTCTCCCCCATCAGGGTTGGTACTCCCTGAGGGCACAAGCTGGACTAGATTTCCTGCTGGATCCTCAGCATTGCCCAGCTCAGGCCCTTGATTAGATTTAGAGGTACTATAGGGTGCCTGAATATATGAAGGAGTAGGCAAGAATAACTGAATAAGTGAATAAGTTAGTGAATGTCTTAATGATTTTGTGAACAAGTAGAGAGGCCCGAAATTGAGTGAATCAATGAACGAGATGGTAAAGGACCAAGTAAACACACAGAGCACACTCTTGCCTCAGGGCCTTTGCACAGGCTCATCTTTCTGCCTAGAACTCTCTTCCCCCTGAAAACTCACAGCTCAGTCCCACTTCAGGTCTCTATTGAGATGTCACTTTTTTGTCTAGGCCGCCTCAGACGATCTCATTTAAAACTGCAGCCACCCCCATTCCATCCTGTTTCCCTCTTTATATTTCCACACAGATCTAGGAACCACCTAAACACACTCTTTTCAGTAATGATGTTTTTAATTGTCTTACATCATGCCCCCTACTAAAATGCCAACTTTTTGCTTCCCGTGGTATCTCTGGGGCCTAGAACAGTACTTGGAATTTAGTGCTAGCTCAGTAAATGTGCAGTCACTGAGAAACTGAGCCCCCAGTCACTGCCCTTCCCCACGCCCACTCTGGACTAAAACTTTCTCCACTTTCCCCACAGACTGCACGGAGCCTAGTCCTGGGCACTGGGGAGAGCTAAGCTGGACACCTTCCAGGCCCCAGGAGCAGGGGACAGCAACAGAGGCAGTTCCAAGGGCCCTGGACGATGACAACTCCGGGACTGAAGACGCAGCAGTGAATGCCATGCTGCGCGCGGTGGCAGCCAGCCGCCTATCCATATGCAGCCAGCAGCAGGGCGAGCCTGACCTCACCGAGCGGGAGAAGGTGGCCATCCTGAGCCAGCTGTACCACGAGAAGCCGCTGGTGTTTCTGGAGCGTTTCCGCACAGGCCTCCGCGAGGAACATCTCCCCTGCTTTGGCCACTTGCGGGGTGACCACCGTGCAGACTTCTACTGTGCTGAAGTGTCCCGGCAGGGCTCTGCCCGGCCCCGCACCCTGCGCACCCGCCTACGTAACCGGCGCTACGCTGCCCTGCGTGAGCTCATCCAAGGTGCGGGGCAGACGGTAGAGTGACCTAAGCGAAGGAAATGAGAAATGAGGATGCAGGAGTAGATACACAGACCCTGGGAGATGAGTTTTGAGGCAGAGTTGGGGACACAGGAAGAGACCGAGAGCGAAACATGAAGTGACAGGGAGAGACAAACAGCCCTGGGAGAAGAGAATGGGGCCAGGAGGGAAAAGGGTTAGAATTTAGTAGATGACAGACAGTGCCATTTCAGATCAAGGGGAGAAGACACACTAGCCAGCACTGATGGGGAAAGCCAATCCCTGCCTCACGCCATGCATCACAGCATTGACAGAAGCCAAGGGGAATATGTGTCTGCCTTGGGGACACCAAGGCCTTCTTGAACAAGACACACACATGAAAACACTGATTCCATTTTGACTGTGACAGACTAACGTGCTTCTCTGTGACTAGACTTGAGAACTAAGACTAACAGACAAGCAAAGGAAGCAGAGTCAGTTAAACAGGAGGCACGAGCTATAGAGACAGATGCAGGAAGAGTGAGACAGCAACTGATGAGGAGCACAGATCAAAAAGGAGGACGGGCGGTGGGGTTAGGTGAACGAAGGTAAGAAAGCAGGAGACAGAAGTGGGTGCAGATGGGCAGGCACACGAGGGTAGAGGAGGACAGGAAGTAAAACTGAGACCCAGAAACAGGGTGAGACAGCCAGGAGGGAAGGATAGAAACAGAATCTGGTGAAAAAAATGATAGAAACTAGAAGGTGGGGCAAGATGGAGGGCAAGACAGGACAGGGATGCTTCGCAGGCCAGGAATTCAGGGGCTCTGGAGGCGGGGCTAGGGCCAGGGGCAGGAGGGGTCAGGGCAGGGGTAACTGCTCTCTGAGGGCAGCTGGAGCGGGCAGCCAGGGGAGAGGACCACTTTCAGCAGGGAAGCCCACCCATAGGCTGGCTGCAGAGATGAGCACAGTGGGGTGAGGTGAGCGCTGGGGTCTGGAGACCACCTGGGCAGATGTTCTACCTGATGTCAAGCACGCATGAGCAGCTCCACACAGACATACACGGACATGCCCAGCAGTGCTGTCCAGCCCAGACTGGAACTCGACACACAGGCTCAGTCTACACTGTCTGCCACATCCCGCACGCTGGTTCCTGGACACGGTGCTCTGAGCAGCGTGCCAACACCTGTGACCTGGTACACACTGACAGCACAGCTGTGTCTGGGTTCCCAGCCCACTGGTGTGTCAGGGCCTGCATGTACTTAGTCTTACTATGCACACACGCGTGGACACGTGATGCAACCACAGGCCTGGCCAGGTTTGCTCACCTGCATGCGTGGCTATACATAGCCACGCAGCATTGGGCACACAGGCACGTTCTGTGCACCAGGGTGTGTATGTACACTTCTACACCATGCCTACGTAGCTTCCACACGCAGTCGCACATGGGCAGAGACACACGTCTGCCCATCCCATGCCCAGCGCCCTGCCTTGCCCACCCTGTCTCCTCTGCAGGGGGTGAGTACTTCAGCGATGAGCAGATGCGGTTCCGGGCCCCACTGCTGTACGAGCAGTACATCGGGCAGTACCTGACCCAGGAGGAGCTCAGTACCCGTACCCCAGCCGCCCAGCTGCCCAGGCCCGGCTCACCGGGCACGCCTGCCTGCCCGCTCTCGGACCTGCTGCTCCAGTCCTACCAGGAGCGGGAGCTGCAGCAACGACTGCTCCGGCAGCAGGAGGAGGAGGAGGCCTGCCTGGAAGAGGAGGAGGAGGAGGAGGACAGCGGCGAGGAAGGTGAGGGCTGCAGGCCACCTGGGCAGACCTGGCACCTGCTGCCAGCCGGATGCCTCGAGCCCCTGGGCCCTCTCACCCACCCTGGCTTCTCTGGCCCTGCTCCAAACGAGCCCACACCTGCAGGCTTTTGCTCATGCCATCCTTTGCCAGGAATGCTGTCCCCTCAGCACCCTCTGGGGTCAGGTCCTGACCCTCTTCTACAGTCTCAAGACCAGTGGGTTGCCCTGTGTGTGTGTCCATGTCCATGTCTGCACATGTGTGCGCACGCACACACACCCAGGAGCACAGGGACTAGCCAGCTCCATCACTGCCATGTCCCCAGGACCACTAGTGAGACCCAGCACCGGGGAAGCAGCTCTCACCCCCTCACTGTGGGCATCTCCCCCTGCAGACCAGAGGCCGGATGGAGACTCGGAGGCCTGGGTCCCTGACTCAGAGGAGAGGCTGATCCTGCGGGAAGAGTTCACCAGCCGGATGCACCAGCGCTTCCTGGATGGCAAGGATGGAGACTTTGACTACAGGTGCCCATGTGCCCCCCGGCGCCCTCCCCCACCCAGCACCCGCAATCCCAGCCATGGCCAGATCCTATGCACCTGCTCGAGGGCCCTTGTGGGGCTAAAAGGCCCTGGAACAGTGCCAGGTCGTGGGCCCTGAGGTCAGACAGCATCAGGGTTTCAGAGCAGCCAGAGATCAGTGACCTTAGACTCGCTTTGTCCATCTGTGAGCCTCCATCTCCTCATCTGAAGCTAGAAATGGGCAAGGCTGATGTTTCCATTCTGGTAAGCAGTAGTGGCTGCTAGGGTGCCACCACTCCCAAGTGTCCCCCAGGACCCCAGACATCCACATGCTGCAGGAAGTCACCTGGCAGAGTTCATGCCCGGGTTGGAGGGGCCTGTGCCAGTCTTTTGGCTCTGGCCATTCATTTCTCTAGTGTCACCCGAGAGGTAAGAAACATGGGCCACCTGCTTTAGAAAGGATTTTGCCCTGGTGGTGCAGTGGTTGAGTGCTGGGTTGCGAGGCTGCCCGCAGCCTCTGCAGCGCCAGTTCGATCACCGGCCACTGGCAAGGTCCCACAAAAAAAAAAAGAAAGAAAGAAAGAAAGAAAGAAAGGATTTTGCCCTCTGGGAAAAGGAGAGTGAAGAGGCTGTCAGCTGAGGCAGTCTCGCGCTTGGTACCCGACACCGGGGTCGGCTGCAGACAGCCCTGGTTTCTGGCCCAGCCCAACAACATGAATGAGTGGATGAGCAGCGAAGGTGGTGGCCACTGCCACAGGCAGTAGCTGGAGACTGAGCACCGCTGGCCCCTATCCCTGGAGGAGAGTCTGGCTGAGCCCCAGCAGCATGCCTGGGTGTGGGGAGCCCTCGGTTGGGGTGCCGCTGCCATCATAAAGCCAGGGGATCCCAGGAGCTTGGGCCTGGTGTGAGAAATGGGGATGAAGCCTGTGCCCCCTCTGGAAGGCACTTGCTGGGCAGTGTGTCCCTTGTCTGTGTGTTTAGCCCACACGTGCTGAGCGCTACAGGGAACAAAACCACAACTGGTTCCCTACCCCGAAAGGGGTCCCACTGCAGTGGGGAAGACAAAGACGCATTTGGCAGTGATGGTGACAAGGCCATGAAAAAATGAAGCAGGGTTGGGGGTGGGAGAGGGACGAGGGGCCAGGGAAGCCTCTCTGAAGAGGTCACAATTAAGCAAAGTCCTGCAGGAAGTGAGACGGAAGTGCCATAAATGGAGGAGAATGTCCCTGGGGGACGGCACGGCGGCCAGTGCAAGAGCTGAGGCTGGGCCAGGGGTCAGAGAGCTCTGCGGCGATCTGGCAGGGCTCTGTCACCCAAGTGAGTGGGAGGGTTTGGAGCAAACAGGGGTCCTCCTTACAATTTGGGGTCACTTGTTACCCCAGTGCAGCCTCAGGACTGAACCTCAGGACTGGAATTCTTCATGTGGGGGCTGCCCTGTGCGCAGCCGGTGTAGCAGCATCCCTGGCCAGGGCAGCTGCAGTGTCCCAGGGGTGACAGCAGGATGTCTCATTGTCACCCTGAGAGCAGAATCTTCCTGAGAGAACCGCTGCCTGGGGTGTGGGCCCACGTCTCACCACATCTTCCAGCTTTCCAAGAGAAACCGAAGTTTTATGTAAAATCTCTTGACCTTCGATTTGAAGCCTGGAGAGACCCCACTTCTCCCTCCAAGGGTTCGCTCAGACTGGGAGTCGCCCGTGTTTGGTCTTTTTTTTTTTTTTTTTTTTTTTAAAGAGAGGCATGTATTTTTATTTATTTATTTATGTATTTATTTGTTTGTTTGTACATGCACTGGGTACAGTCAGAAGCGCGGGAGGGTGAGAGAATTCACCAGAGCCAGAGCGGGGAGCAGAGCAGGCAGAAGGACCGAAGTACACTGCTGAGGGGAGCAGCGGGCGGCAGGAGAGGTCTGCGCGCCATGTGGGACCCTCCTCCAGTGGCCGGGGAGCAGCCGGGGATCGAACCGGCGCCGCAAAGTCCGCAGGCAGCTTCGCAACCCAGCGCTCAACCGCTGCGCCACCGGGGAGGCCCCTGCCGTGTTTGGTCTTGACCTGGGGGTGGGTGGGGGGAGGCCAGGGACTCCAGGCAGAACCCCTGACAGCCTCGTCCCCCTGCAGCACAGTAGATGACAACCCTGACTTTGACAATCTGGACATCGTGGCCCGGGACGAAGAAGAGAGGTACTTCGATGAGGAGGAGCCCGAGGATGCTCCCAGCCCGGAGCTGGATGGGGACTGATGGCCCAGCCCCGCCAACCCAACAAGGCAGCTGATTGCAGGCTGACTCAGTGACTGTCTAGGGGAACCAGGCGGCTACCCCAGCCTGGCTGGGTCTGGTCTCATCTCAGACGATCCCTCGCCTCTGCTTCTGGGGTTCCCCACTTTTCTCCCCTTCTTCCTCCCCCTTGAGCCCTGCTTCCATCTTTCTCTTGCTGTCTCTGGGGTTCTTTCGCCATCTGTTGGTCTCCTCTCCCTGCCATTTTCTTGCTTTCTGCGCCTTCCCCTCACTGTCTGCCTTTCTACCGTCCATGTCTGTCGCCTGCGCCTCCCGCTATCCATCTCGGCCTCTGACCTACCACGAGGCCAGGAGCGCGTCCTCCCCTTGGCCAGCCAGTGGGCCCCTTGGTACCTGGAGTGGCCCGGCTGCTCCCAGTGCCCAGCTCGGTCGGGGCTGCCCTGTGGCCCCGGGGCGCCTACCCTCCCTCCACTGCTCTCTCCACCTCTCTTGATGTCACAACTCGTGGCTGCCTGTCACGTTCCCCTCTCTCCTTGGGCCCCACTGTCTGGGCCTGTGGTTCTTCCCACAGGTACATTTCCATCTCCCTCTGGGCCTCTGTGTGCTTTCTGACCCTCTATCCATCACTCAGCCTTTATCTCTGTGTTCTACTCCCCCCACCCCCTCATGTGACTGCTGAGTAATTCGGCCTGCACCCCTGACAGTGGCCACTATTCTCACCTCTCCCTCAGGACCCAGGCCTGGGAGGGGTGGGCAGGGCAGCATTGGGGATCCTGGGCTGCCAGCTTGGGTGTGGAGGGAGGGGGGACTCTCTCCTCCCAGTCCCACCACCCCCCTCGGCCCAGTAGCAATTTTCCTTCCCTTCACTTCCTCCGCCTCCCTCCTGTTTACACTCCCCAAATACAGGCTGTTATCATGGGTCCTGAGTCATCCCTCAGACACACACACACATACACACACACACAGCCTGCCCCAGCGGCCCTGCCCCCAGCCGGCCACAGGACCCGCCCCACCGAGCCCCCTGCCGCCCCAGGCTAATGGGAGCCAGATGGCCGCCTGGTGACTCAGCCGTGGCCTGTGGGAACCCAGGCGTCCCGCCTTCCCATGCCCCCACACCCAGCTCATGCTCCCCCAGTAGACACAGAGAAAGGGCCACCCTGGGGAGAGTGAGGTCAGTGGAGTGAGGCCTGGGGACCCCTCTCCTGTAAGATGGAATGGTGGCATCCTGCCCAGGCCGTGCTGGAGGACCCTCGAAATTGCCCCCTTAGGCATGTGGCCCAGAGCCCTAGGGGGAGACCCAGAGGCCTCCTGGGGCCAGGGCACTTAACCCAAGGGCCTTGGCTCTGCCCTCTGGGTCAGCCAGGATCAGAGCCAGACAGAAAGTGAGAGCTGGATGGAGGCCAAGGGCCTCTCAGACGCAGAAACTATTAAATAATGAAAGTCCTAGTTATTGGGCATTTCTGGCCTATGCCAGGCCCAAGTGGCGACCTGACTGCGCAGAGTCCCCCAGATGCTGTGAGCCAGAGACTCAGCTCCATTTCACAGGTGGGTGAGGGGAGACCCAGAAAGATGTGACTTGGGGCCCTCAGTGCTGGGAACGCAGGTCTAGAAGCACTCAAGGCCTGTCAGATAAGGCTGTCAGAGCCAGTGGCTATGTAGACCGTCTTCCTCAGGTGGAAAGATGGAGAAAAGCTAGTGCTGAGGATGGTAGCAGCACCTGAGATTTTGGGGGCACCCTGCTGTTGGTGCCATTCTGCACACTGTGGGGACTGAATCACTTGACGAGAAGCCACTGAGCTGTTGTCATGGCGTCCTATGTGGCGGGTGCTGTTGGGATGGTGCCTCAGTCTCCCAGAGGCCCAAGGTCAGCCGGCCAGCTAGCCCCAGGCCAGGTGGGAAAACAGAGGGGGTGTTAGTGGTGTGTGTCTAGTAGGTGCCTGTGGTCGCGACAGACTTCACAAGGCAGGCGGTGGCCCCTGGGGACGTGCACGCCCCACTGTCTCATATTTGATCATTAAACTTGTGATATACTTTGCCATACCTAAATTTGTTATATAATAAAAAAAAAAGTGATGAGAGACAGCGATTGAGTGAGCACTGGGGTGAGTCAGATGGTGGAGACGTGAGCGTCTGTAGCCGAGAGACAGAGGCGGAGCCTGTCCGGAGGCCCTGCAAGGGACACACCCCCGTCAGTAGCAGCCTTCTAGCCACTGAGGCCCCGAGGTGCCCCCAGTTCTGGACCTGGGGTGGGCGGAGAGGCTGAGTCAAGGAGGGAGGCCCCACTGGGGGAGCCCCTCCTGGGCATCCGGCCCCCACCCCCATGTCTCCTGTCTGTCCTCCTGGCCACCACCCCCCCAACCCCGCGTCTGACACCTCTGTGCATCCTGCCAAAGCCAAAAGTAACTCCCCGCTCCTCCCCATGCCCTCCTGCCTCCCTGCTTCTCACCTCCTTCCTGTCCCTCTGCCTTACTCCCTCTCAGTTCTTATTTTTCCCGTTCCCCAGTGTTTCCCCATCTTGTCAGCGCCCCTCTCCTCCCTCAGTTTTCCAGTGTTCCAGTGCCTCTGCCTCCTCTCCCCCCCTCCATCTCCCCTCCCGTGCCCTCCTTGTCATTCCCTCCAGCTCAGCCTCTGTGTTGGCCACTGTCTTGGAAGCCTGCTTCCCAGGCCTTTCTCTGGGGAGTCTCCCTCCTACCCTGCTCCTCCTCTTTGCCCTCATTTTTTCCTACCCTTCTCCTGGCTGTCTCTCAGCACCCCCCGCCCCCCCCCCATCTCAGTCTCTGTCCTCTCTTGTGTCTCCCAGACCCTGGCAAGCCCAGCAGGGATGTCCAGGTCAGAGGTTCACTGGTGGCCCTAGGAGCCCAGAGTGAGGGGTCACTGCCTTGCCCCCATTCAGAAGAAGAGTAGGAGGGGGCAGCAAGGCTGTGGCCTGTCTGGCCAGAAGGAAGTGTCTGTGCTGTGGCCTGGTCACCCCCGCCCCCGGGACCTGCCCGGCTGCTGCCGCCCCCGGGCTGGGCCCGAGTAAACACAGCCGCCGGCAGCCCGGGATATTTATACCCAGGCCGGGCGCAGGTCCAGTGCCCACCGCAGCCCCTGCCCTGCCCTGCCCGCCACAGCCAGCCCCGAGCCAGCGTGGCACCAGCCAGCAAGGGGACGCGCCACAGCTGTAGCCTCCACTCAGCACAGAGGCCACCAGGTACGTTGCACGGGATGCCAGTGGCTTCCGTGGGAACACACAATGGCCCCCTCCCCTGAAAACACCAGCCATGCCCAGAAAGCCCTGGAAGGTGACCCTGAGACTCATACACTGAAGCTACCAACCCACGTGTGAGGACATAAAATGCAGACACCACCTGCTCAAAGACACCCACCAAGGCTGAGACCACCCACCCCTGAGGTGGACACAGACACATCCGCACTGGGAGGACGACAGCGGATCACATCCACATGATACACGCCAGATGCCAGCAGCACACGCATCACAAAACATGACCTAGAAACAGCTCGCCCACGGACACACAAACTCACATTAAGAATGTGCAAATTTGCACCCCGAGAAGAACAACAAAGTTGTGGAGAAAAAAATTAGAAACACAACACATCCCAGAGATATGACCCACTCATACACATAGATTTGCTGAGTCCAACAGAAGCCACGGAGCACATGCCAGCTCGAACAGCAGCAACGCAAAAAGCAGATGTGCAAACCAAACACGGCCCCATCGCAACCACATGGAGCTGAACATGCGTGGGCCACACACACACATGTATTGAAAATAACACCCCCATACCCCATCCAACACAGCCCACGGGCACCCAACTGATGTGTCTGCTAAGACACCACAGAGCCTGCAGACTCACTCACAAGGGGCCTGAACACATTCAGTTCACATTAGAAACACGAAAGACACCCACACTGTGGAAGTCCAGAGATGTAGAGAGAAGGGGCTTCCCCTCTCTGATCTCATCCGCCCCACCTCTCACTGACCCAGGTCCTAGGCCTGTCTGGGGGAGGGGGCAGGAAGGCCTGAGCTGGCCTCCCCCGGCCTTGCTTCCTGCCCCTTGGGGGCTGGACGGGAAGCTGGGGCTCCAGCCGGAACCCAAGCTCCCCCCACAACTTCCCTCCCCGCCCCGGCTGCCTACAGAGGCGGGGGAGGGGTGCAGGGCGCCCCAAACCCCCTGTCCCGCCCCAGAGGTTGGCTGTGGGCCGGGGCTGACTTGTCCCGACTGGACCCGGCCACCCAGCAGAGCCAGGGGTGCCAGGGTGGCAGAGCAGAGGCAGCGCAGGAGGCCCTGGGGAAGGTGCTGAACCTGCAAGTTTCCCTTCCCGGATGGGCCGTGCCAGCTCACCCATGGCCCTGGGCAGGTGGGCGGGGTGTGTCATGAGGGCGGGGCGAGGGCTGGGCAGCCCTGCCATGTGCGCCACCGGCCAGGACTTGTCCTGGGGCCTTGATAGGCACGAGCTGGGCGTGTGAGGGCCTCGACCTGGGGTGGGGGGGTGTGTCTGGATGTGTGGGAGCCACTCGTCTGGGATCTGACAGGGTGTCTGGGTGTGCCGGGGTCAGCTCCCGTCTGTCAGGCCGTGGGGGACTCCCCAGGCCTGAGCGCGTGGGGCCAGAGACAGCAGACTGAGTGGGCACGACCCACTGGCAGTGTGTGACCGTGATGTGTCAGATCTCCGTGTGTGGTGTGGGTCTGGGTGGGACTGTGACGTGTTGGGTCGTGTGCGTGCGCACCGGGCCTGTTTGGGACTGTGACCCCATGGAGGATGTTTGTGTAACTGCTGGTGGGACCCAGCCAGAGCCTGTTTCACTTCCTGACGGGGCTCTGCTGCCTCGAGGTGTGTCTGTGCGTGGTGACACCGGCTCCGGATGTGTCTGGTGTATGGCGCTCGTGAAGTGGCCTTCGGAATGTATCTGCGTGGTCATGTTTTGCTGTGTCCCTGTGGAAGTCTCTGCCCGTGTCGTGCCCCAGTAAGCATGCAGGAGCCAGTGTGACCCTGGCAGCTTTGCCTAGGAGGTTGTCAGTGCGGCTCTGGGACACAGCCCACATGGGAGCCTCTGATGCGAGTGAGCATGTGTACTGTGCCACATCGTCAGGGGGTCCTTGGGCCAGTCTCCACCCAGGAGGCTGTGATGATGTGACGTGTCCTTACATAAGATTCTGGCTCATCTCACCCCCACCCCCTGCTCCCAGACTTAGGGCTAGGGGGGAATAACCCCATTTCCATGCCTAGGCTGGACTGGGCCACCCCAGAACCCACTCACCCAAGCCAAGCCACAGAGGAAGCACAGCACTTGCCCCGTCCACACACATCCCAGCTGGGCGATCACTGGGCAGGGTAGCAGGACAGAGGTCCCGAGGAGGCCAGGGACACAAGGAAAACTAAAACCAGGGAGAAAGAGGGGAACCTGAAAACTGGAGAAAGCAGCAGGAGAGAATTCATAAGCCAGACCACAGCAGATGGGGGGAGGCAACAGAGAAGCCCACCCTGGCTCAGGTCACTGTCACCTCTCATCTGGGCTACTGGTCTTCTGGCAGTGACCCCCCCCCACATCCAGTCTGCGTTCCCCCATCAGGCTGAGGGCCCCTCTGAGCACCCAAGTCAAATCACACCCTCCTCTGTTGAGAACCCTCATGGCTCCCATATCCTTCAGAGGCAAGTTCTCACAGGTTCCCACAGGCCTGGTGTGGCCCGAGAAGCACTCCAAGCTCCTCTGCTTCCTAGCTTTGTGACCTTAATGAGTAATTTAACCTCTGTGCCTCTATATTCCCATCTGCGATCAAATGGTCTGCATAGCAGGAGTCGTCAAGTTATTCCTATAAAGAGCCAGATGGTAAATATTTTTGGCTTTGCATAGTTTCTACTTAATCCGGCACTGGTAGCATTAAAACAGCCATAGACGAGAGGTAAACGAATAAGCGTGGCTATGCTCCAATAAAACTTTATTTACAGAGACAGGCAGCAGGCCGTGGTTCGCCAACCCCTGCTCTGCCGGGTTGCGGGGAGAATGCCGTGAGCTAGTAGATTCATACCTGGCATGGAGAATTGTTATTACTGCTCTGGCCTGCGAGTGTTACGGATCTGACTCAGCTCCCAACGCCCTCCCCTTGCCCGTTCCCTCCCAACCACACTGGCCTCTTGCTCACTGTGTAGCTCACCCCAATTTCATCCTCACTTCCAAGCCTTTGCTTTTGTGTCCTCCTCCTACCAAGAACACTTTCCTCCACCCTCCCGCCACAGGGCTTTCCTCCTTGGCTTCCCTCAAGTCTCAAATGCCTCCTCCTTCAGGAAGCCTGCCCTCCTCCCCAGAGCCATCTCTCTCTATCCTGCTTCCCTATCTTCCTGCCACCTATCAGGTCTGTCTCCCACCCAGAAAGTGGGTCCTGGTGGGCAGGGCTTTACCCTTAAGCTCTGGGCTTCTTCACCTTGAAAGTGGGTGTTATCAGAACCCCTATGTCTTAGCTATGGCGATTAAATTAGTTGATACAAGGCACTTAGAACGGGGCCAGCGTGCTCAATAAATAGCCCTAACTAGCTTTCACCACAGATCCCCTGCACCTGGACGGGCACCTGCAGACACCACCAGCCCAGAGTTTCTGCCAGGAGGGCCAAGTGGATGGTGGAGAGACAGGAGGAGGCAGGGGGAGCGGACATTCAGGGCAAATGCTCGTCGGGGAGACCCCAGTCAGGCGCTCAATGACACAGAGACCCCAGTCCTCTCTCCACCTTTAATGGTCCCCCAGGTGGGTTTGGGGGGCTGTGTCCTTAAATAAAGCCCCGCACGGAGGGCGGGGCGGGGCCGGGCCTGCCGGGGGCGGGGCCTGCGGGTGGGGCCTGCGAGCGGGGCGGGGCCTCAGCTGCACTTGCAGGAGCGCACGATCATGTTGGTCAGCTGCTCCACCTTGGCCTTGCGGCCCACGTAGTACACGATGGGCAGCGGCTCGAGCACCTGCGGCACGCAGCACGGCGCTGCCGACGCGCCCGGGTTGTGCTGGTTGTACAGGGCCAGGACCTGCGGACGGACGAGCAGGTGGGTCAGGGTCGGGGTGACGGGGTGGGGGGGGTGGGGGGGTTCCCCACTACACCCACCGGCCTCGCCCGACCAACCACCAATGTCTGCCTTATCCCAGTCTTTCTTCTCAACCTCGGTTTCTCCCCGTTCTCCACTCTTGCCTTGTATGTCAGTCTTTGTCTTTCTGTTTCCATCCTCCCTGTCACTCTATACCAATCTGTGGCTGCCCTTTTCTCTCTCCTTTGGTCTCTGCGATGCTCTGTTCCATCTCCCTGCATCTTCCACCCAGTTACTCTAGCCCCTGGGTCTACCCTATTTCTGTCTCCCTCTGCCTCCTAGACTGTTTCCCCCCATTTTGTCAATATAGCTACAATTTTACCCCTCTCTCTCCCTCCACTCCCTCAGCTCCTGCTTCTCCAGCCCACTCCTGGCACCCAGGGTAGATGCACCTTGCTGTACTGTGTGTCCAGGCTCCAGATGTAGGGGCAGGGCCCCAGGCAGAAGTTGGCATGGTAGCCCTTAGGCTCGTGGATCCACTTCCAGCCCAGGTCCTTGCGGAAGTCGATGTAAAGCTGCCGCACACAGCAGTTCTTTTCTGTGGAGCTGCAGGACAGGGGGTAACCCAGGTCAGGAGGTCTAGGGGCTGTCCCAGGGGCAGGGCATGGCCCTTCTGGGGTGTGTGTGTGTGTGTGTGTTTCACACTGCCTTGCCACCCAGCACTGTTCCATCTCGGCCTCCCCAGCACCCACTGTGATAATAACGACAGCAATCATAATAATAATTATCACGAGCACTGATAACACATCTCTTCCAGTCAAGCACTGTGTTAAGAGCATCATAATAAACATTATCTCATGCAATGCTCAAAACAAACCTTGAGAAGCCAAGTGACCACCCTCAGGGGACGCTGAATAAAGCACGGCATATTCACACACTGGAACACAAAAAACAAAGTACACCCCCACGTGTTCCAGTGCCTTCTATCTGTGCAACAAATGCTTGCTCTACTACTGTGTGTCTGCGGGACGCTCAGCATAAACCAGACAAATCCCTGCCCTCGGAGATCACATGTCCCCCCCAAAGTCATGTCCTTCCTCTCCTCCAAACATGGCTCCACCTCAGGGCAAATGCCCAAGTCTCCCCATGAACCCACAAGGTGCTCGTGGATGTGGCTAATCTTTTTTTTTTAAAACACATTGGATTGTTTTTTGTTTTGTTTTGTTTTTTCCTAAAGATTCATTCACGCATGCACACAAGAGCTGGGGCACAGGCCAGAGATGCAGGGGGTGAGAGGATCCATCAGAGACAGAGTGGGGAACGGAACAGGCAGACTGGCCAAAACACACCACTACGGGGAGCAGCAGGCGAGCCAGGAGAGGTCTGCTGTGCCATGAGGGTCAGCTCCCCGGCTGGCCAGGTATCGAACTCATACTTCAGAGGCCATGGATTGCCCCATAGTGCAGTGCCCAACCCCTTGTGCCACCAGGGAGGCCCATGTGCTAATCTTAAGGCCCCTCTCCCCCACCCATATTCCACTCCAGCCACAGGGCATCCTCCCTGCTCCTAAAACACAGTAATGGGGCCTTTGTACTTGCTGTTCCCTTTGCCTGACTTGTGATTCCCAGACAGTCCACACTGGCTGGTCTCTGCTTCATTTAAATGGACGTTCACGTATCCTTCACCTAGGAGGCTATGACGCTGCCTGGCGCGCAGCTGGTGCTCAGTAACTATCAGCTATAGAAAGGGGTGTCATTTCCTTAGAGTCCCTCCTGACCATCCACCTTTCCAAAAGGTCAAACCAAGTGATTTGATTCCATTCTGTATAGCAGTGACATTACGATAATATAAGAGAATATGAAAATGCCCTTATTTGATGTGGGAAAAAAAATCTTTTTTTAAATTTTTAAAAAAAGATTTATTTATGCATACAAGAACTGGGATGCAGGCCAGAGGTGGGGTGCGGGGGCTGAGAGGATTCACCAGAGACAGAATGGGGAACAGAACAGGCAGACTGACTGAAATACACTGCTGAGGGGAGCAGCGGGTGAGTCAGGAGAGGTCTGCTGTACCATGTGGGTAGCTCCCTAGTTGGCTGGGGATCGGAGGCCCTCCAGTAGTTTTTCAAGTATTTAGCTTTCTCGAATTGTCCACTATGTAAACATTCAATGTTTGGCATCATTCTGACCTGCTTTTATACACATCATTTCTTCCATCTCCTTCTTTTTTGCTCTAAGTGGCAACATTTCCTCCCTCCCGTGGCTGCTCCTGCCTGCCTGCTGCTCCCCTCAGCAGTGTACTTTGGTCAATCTGCTGTTCTGTTCCCCACGCTGTCTCTGGTGAATCCTTTCACCCCCAACAGCTCTAGCCTGTACCCCAGCTCTTGTATGCATAAATAAATAAATCCCATGGTATTGTGGGATCACATACCAAGATCCCATATCTTATTGATCCCACCCTTTTTTCATGGGCACTTAGGGTGCTTTGATGTCCTGGTTATTGTAAATAGTGCTGCAGTCCACACTGTAGGGCATATAATTTTTTAAGTTGATGTTTTCAGTACTTTGGATTGACACCCAAGAGTGGGACTGCTGGAGCCTCCCTGGTAGCCTCGGGGTGAATGCTCAGCACTATCATCATTACAGCCTGATGTTCGATCCTCAGCCAGGGAGCTGACCCACATGTGGCACAGCAGACCTCTCCTGTCTTGCCCTCTGCTCCCCACAGCAGTGTATTTCAGTAGATCCGTCTGTTCTGATCCCTACGCTGTCTCAGGTGAATCCTCTCACCCCCCAACCTGCTCCCTGCACCTCTGGCCTATGCCCCAGTTTTTACACACACACACACACACACAAAAGGGTGGGACTGCTGGGTCATAGGGTATTTCCATTTCTGATTTTTTTTTAAATTTTTTTAAAATTTATTTATTTTTATATAAGCACTGGGTACAGTCAGAAGCACGGGAAGGTGAGAGAATTCACCAGAGCCAGAGTGGAGAACAGGCAGACTGATGAAGTACACCACTGAGGGGAGCAGCAGGCCGGAGGAGAGGTCTGTTGTGCCACGTGGGACGCTCGCCTGGCAGCCAGGGATTGAATCGGCACTGCAGAGGGTGTGGGCAGCTTCACAACCCAGCGCTCAACTGCTCTGCCATTGGGGAGGCCCCATTTCTGATTTTTAAATCCAGATCACTTTCTGTGATTCATTCAACAGAGAATGAATCAATTCATTTCAAAGCCCTTCAGGTTTTGAGGCAGGCCTTATTATTATTACTCCCACTTGAAGGATGAATAAAGGGACACTCAGAGAAGAGTGTCCCCTTTTTGGGGACATAGCCTGCTCACGTGGGGAGTAGTGGCGAAGCTCAAGGCCAGTTCACAGCTGACTCTGTGCTGCCCATAGCCTGTGGTCTCAGCTACCCAGCTGAGACAGGGTCCATTCCAGCAGAGGTGGGCAAGGCCCTGATGCCAGACCCAAGAGCTACAGTGCTCTGAGAAGGGAGTCAGGAAACAGACCTCTGTAAGCTGAGCCTTGGCCCTAGCCAATCTGCTTGGGCCTGTTTCCCCATCAAAGATGAGAGGGGGGCCTCCCTGGTGGTGCAAGGGGTTAAGACGCAACCTATGAAGTTGTCTGCAGCCTCTCCAACACAAGTTCGATTCCCTAGCCGGCCAGGGAGCAGTTGCCCACATGGCACAGCAGAACTTTCCTGATTCGCCTGCTGCTCCCCTCAGCAGTGTACTTCGGTCAATCTGCCTGTTCTGTTCCCCACTCTGTCTCTGGTGAATCCTTTCACCCCCAGCAGCTCTAGCCTATACCCCAGCTCTTATATGCATAAATAAATAAATCTTAAAAAAAAAAAGCTGAGAGGGTAGGGGCTCAAATTAGGGTGTTGTCAACCTACTGGCCTAGGAGAGGAGAGGAAGTCCAGGTACAAACTCAGGGAGGAGCCTGAGCCCCTGAAACCATATGCACATACGTGTCTAAGTGGGCCATTTTCTAGGGGGAGATGCCCTTTGGCGTCTCAGGGGGGTCCTGGACTCCTCCAAGAGGAAGAATCACTGTCCAGAACAATTTTTAACATCCCATCCAACAGGCTGGGGTGCCTGGGTTTGAATATCCGAACAATCTGTGGTGCTATTACCCAACTCAGCAGTTCTCTACCTGCAGCCTCTGCACCAGCAGCAGCGTGGCCTGGGAACTGGTGGGAAATGCAGATTCTTGGGCCACACTCCAGACTCACTGAATCAGAAACTGGGGGTGGGAGGCCATGATCACATGTCACAAGCCCTCCAGGTGACCCTCTGCAACCTGAGTTCAATCCCCAGCCAGGGAGCTGACCCACAAGGCACAGCAGACCCCTCCTGTCTCCCTACCACTCCCCTCAACAGTGTATTTCAGTAGATCTGCCTGTTCTGCTCCCCATTCTGTCTCTGGTGAACCCTATCATTGCCCCCCTCTACCCTCCCAGCACCTCTGGCCTACACCCCAGTTCTTATAAGCAACAAACAAACTAACAAACAGAAACAAAGCCAAGAGGCACCCTTAAACTATACACAGAAACAAGTGTTGGAAAAAGGAACCCTGGTACACTGCTGCTGGGACTATAGACCAGTCCAGCCCCTGTGGAAAACAGCTTGGCAGATCCTCAAAATGTTAAAAATAGATCTACCATGTGACCCAGCAATTCCACTCCTAGGTATCTGCCTGCCCGAAGAATGCAAAAACACTAATTTGAAGGAATATAGACACTCCTATGTTCAATGCAGCGCTATTTACCACAGCCAAGGTATAGAAACAACCTAAGTGCTCAAAGACAAATGAGAGATTTAGGAAGATACAGTATGTGTACAGACAACACAATATTACTCAGCTATAAAAAAGATAAACTCTTGTCATTTGCGACAACAGGGATGAAACTGGAGAAAATGAAGCTGAACGGACATAAAGACAAATACCGGATGGTGGCATTTAGATGTGGAACACAGAGGGACAAAGCAAAGGGTGAGACAAAACCAAACCAGTAACAAATGCTAGAAATTTGACTGTGGACTTGAGGCTACCAAAGGGGGAGGGCGCATAATGGACTACGTGGAGGACTACATGTATGCCTTGGTGGTGGGAGGGGTATGGGAACATACACTGGAAAGCTGTGACCCTATACTCTTAATTCCTATAGTGCCTAAAACCAATATTATCTCAATTTAAAATTTTAATTACATTAAAAAGGTAATATGCAGTGGAGAGCAGTGTCCTGTTATTGCTCTAAATTTATAAACATCCTAACTCTGAATTTTAGCATTAGAGCAACCTAAACTCCTAACATTGTTTTTGTTTTTTTGCATAGAAGAACTAGAGTGTAGGCCAGAGGTGCGGAGTGTGTGTGTTGCGGGGGGAGGGAGGGTGTTTGGTGAGAGGATTCACCAGAGACAGAATGGGGAGCAGAACATTTCAGGTGGATCCACTGAAATACACTGCTAAGGGGAGCAGTGGGAGAGACAGGAGAGGTCTGCGCTATAAGTGGGTTAGCTACCTGCCGGGGGATCGAACTCAGGCCATGGTAGTGATAGTGCTGAGACTTAACTCCTAGGCCACTAGGGAGGCCCCAGTTTTCAACTTTGATAGAATGAGCTACTTCAGCATCTCAAGACTCCAACCCTCCAACAGCATTTCCAGCGTTCTAGCACTCCCACATTCTGATTCTCCAGGACCTTGGCCTTCTTGAATTCCGGGATTTCAATACCACATTCCAACATTCCACAACTCTGAGCCCATCCCTGAAGAGGTACATGCTCCCACTTTCTAAGATCCCAGCACCCCAACACCATGTCCTGGTGTTTTAGGGTACCCATCTCCTGGCTTTTCCCAGTGCCAACATTTGATGCTAACTTTTTTTATGTGTACAAGAACTGGGGTGTAGGCCAGAGGTGTGGTGGGTGAGAGGATTCACCAGAGACAGAGTGGGGAGCAGAACAGGTGGATCGACTGAAATACACTGCTGAGGGGCGCAGCAGGTAAGACAGGAGAGGTCTGCTGTGCCATGTGGGTCACCTCCCTGGCTGGGGATCAGACCCGTGCTACAGTGGCAATGACATGATACTGCTGAGATTGAACCCCTGTGCCACCAGGGAGGCCTTGATGCTAATATTTTAATACAGGATTCTACTGCGCTGAGTCCAGCCCTCCTGCGTGGAGGTGCAGGGTAGAGAGGAGATATATATACAGAAATGAACTGGTGGGAAAGAGGGGCTCACAGTTGGAGTGGTATAGAATCTGCCAGTGGTATAGAAACCCAAGCTGGGCAATCTTCCAATTCTGAGTGTTCATATTCTAGGGTTCTATCAATCTTGCTTTCCCTGCACCCAGCGTTTTCAGATTTCAGTAAGGAAGAATGGATTCTAGCATCCTAGAATCCCCACCTGCCAAGCGTATAGGAATCTAACACAGTGACCTTCCAGCCCTAAATTCCACCAAAGGCGATGTTCAACATTCTAAGTCTCTGATTCCAGCATACCAGCTAGGAGGTGACCTGACTGCAATATTTTAAGACTCCCAGTTTGCAGGTCCCAGCGTTCTAGGACTCAGCCCTCATCCCTTGAGGTCACCAGGTTGAAGGGGGCACCGGACCAGCATTGCACCAGCCAGTGCCCAACTCAAAGCAGTGGGTCAGCAGGCAGCAGTCGCACCTGGCTGGAAGCCTTCAGGGGAAGCCACAAGGTTTACCTGAAGCAGTAGTTGGTGTCCAGGGCTCGGCGGTGCCGGGAGCTGTGCAGGTGCTGGGCCCTCTCCAGCGGGGTGGCCATGAGGAGCAGGAAAGGCCGGTTCATGCCACGAATGGTGGCCAGGTCGCCCCGGAGACTGGAGCTGAACCCTGCTTTGGTTTGGGAGTCAGGGGGTGGGGGAGACATGTAGACAGACTCTCAGATGGATAAATGGGAAGTGGGTAGGGGGAGGACACACTTTCTCAGAGGGGTGGATGGTGGGGGGGCATGTGGTGAGGTGCAGGGGAGGGAGGATATATATACACAAGAATGAGCTGGTGGGAAAGAGGGGCTCACAGAACACGCAGAACACAGCACAGGAGTCGAGGAGGCGGGCCTCACCGTTGATTTCCACTTGGAGTGTGTTATTGCTGTTGTCACAGGAACAGTGGGCACTGAGTCGAAAGCCCTCTATTTCCCCTGCTGGAGTGAGGAGAGGGGAGGGTGTGAACATGGGCCTCACCACCCAGAGGATCCTCTCCTGCAGTCCTCTGCCTCGCAGCCTCCTTCTCCTTCAAGTCTCCACTCTACAGTCACTTCCTCAGAGAGGCCCTCCAGGATACCCCTACTCCCCAAGGTAATATCACTTTATTTTCTCCTCATATTTGGCTATTTCTTTCTCTTTCCCAGTGGGAAGCCAGCTGCATGGGGGCAGAGATCTTTGTTTTCTTGGGCCTGGCCCAGAGTTGCAAAAACAAACATGTACTGAGTCCTACCAGGTGCCAAGCCCTGAGCTAAATACTATGTATCTATCATCTTTCCTCCTCAGCCAGCTGCTCAATTTACAGACTGGAAGCTGTAAGGCATGGGGCAGCTGTGGGAGAAATGGAGAGATGAGTGAAGGGACATTTTGACTGAGCCCTATGCCAGGTGCTCTGGATTCAATGACCCACATAGCCTTTTCCCAGTGGTCCAGGATACGCCTCCCAAACCCACCTGCTCCCTAAGCCCCATCTTCTCATCTGGCCAAACTACCACTCATCCCATGAGTCACAACACAATCACCCTCCTCCAGGAAGCCCTCCACGATGCTTCCTGCAGATGGGTCTGGGTGCTTGCTCTGGGCTCCCACAGCACGAAGGGCCTCCCCCATCCTGGTCCTGATCCTTGGGGTCATCAATGACTGCTAGGGCTTTGGCAACTGCTGGCTTCATGAAGGCAGAGCTGAGACGCCATCTTGGTCCTTACTCTTGTCCCCAGACACATCCCTAGCACAGGAGTGGACAGAGCTGGAATCTATGGGCACTTGTTGAATGGGATCATGTGGAAGAGTGAGATCAGGAAGGGAGATGTGGGTGCCATGGAATAGCCAGGACAGTCAGTTCTCTTCCCAGCAGACTGCAGTTGTCAGCTTCTCCTGTACTCAGGGCCTTTACACAACTGTCCCAACTACCTCCAACGCTCTTACTCCTCTTTTCCTGTGTGGGTCCAGTCATCCTTTAGACATCAGTTTTGATGTCCCCTCCTCCAAGAAGCCCTCCCTGAGGAGTAGGTCAGGCACCGCCTGGACTGGTCCCCAGCACAGCCCTGTCCATTTTGGGTCATTACTACCTGAGTTTCAGGTCCTGTCCCCAGCCCTCAGCAATGGACTATGAAGTCCATGAGGGCGTGGGTGGGGCTGTTTGGGTCACTGCTGTGTCCCCAGCATCACCCAGCAGAGGGCAGGTGCTCAGGAAATGAATTAGTCATTAGTCTCGCAGGTTAGTGTCTGGGAGGAGGGCCACGACTTGGCTCTGTGACACCAATGTGGTGGGGGGGGTACTAGGCAGGGCAGCCCCGGGACAAACAATGGAGTCAACCTCATTACCAAAGAGGGGTGGGGTGGACAAGCAGTCCTCACCTCCGTGGCTCAGCCATTGCCGCACAACTCCAGTGACATCAAAGGACAGCCACTCCGGCGTGTCGCTGGGGGCCAGTAGCCGGTTGCTGAGGTAGCGCCAGGTATTATTGCTATATTTCTGGGGGATGATGAATGGGGGTGAGACAATGGGTAGATGTTGCCACTTCCTCCCCCCAGTGCCACTGAGAAGAGAGGTTAAGTTCCCCAGTCTGAGGTCGAGGCACTGGGGGAGCCCAGTCTCTGCCTCCATACCCTGCAGGGTCACGGGGAATTCCTTTCTTATTTCCAGGCCTCAGTTTCCGCATGGGTAAAATGCCAGGTCCCCTTCCACCTGGAGAGCCCACAGTGCTAGATTCTCCAGCAGACATCCTGAGTTCAGTCAATTCGGATACCCAGAATTCTGAGAGTCTACACCCTTCTAGGGGCTTGTAGCTTCAGTGCGCCACAGCTCCCCAAGAATTAACACATTCTAGATGAATGTTCTACACACCCAGGAGTCTGGCATGCCACAAAGCACATGTTGCAGATGGCTGACAGGGTGTGGAAGGGTCCCCAGGGGCTGGCAGCTTGACGCTGAATTCTCTGGACTCCCGGAAGTTAACAACGAAGTGCTCTTGTGAAGGGTCTAATATCTACCATCAAGCCCAGTGTTCCCTGGGACATGGGTTCTAGGTCGCCTAACCTTCTGGGGACTCCAGCCCTTCCAGAGGTCCAAGACTTCCTGGAGACTACGAATCTTCTAGAGCAGTGCTAGCCACGAGAACTTTCTGTGACGTAGGAAATGTCCTTTATCTGTGGCGTCCAAAATAGCTGCCGCGAACCACAAGTGAGCACGGGGCACTTGAAATATGGCCAGTGAGGCTGAGGGATTGAATGTTTGCTTTTATCTAATTTTTAATCAACTTAAATGGCCATCTGTGGCTAGCAGCCACCACCCTGACATAGGGTTGATCCTCCGACCTTTCCAGAATTTCCAACTTTCAAGAATTCTGCGTTCTTCGAGTGCAGCTCCTCTGTGATTCCTGCCTTCCCAATGTTTAACATTCTCAGGAGCTAAGAGTCTGAAAGTCCCAGAAAGCTCCGTGCTCCTCTGTCCTTCAGGCTCTATGTATGTGGGCCCTGTGCCCCCCCCCAACCCCCGCCAGTGGCCCGCTTGGCCCAGCCCCGCCATCCACCCTAGAGCGTGGGTCCCTACCTGGTACAGCTCCACGCGCTGCTCTGTGTTCAGTTTTTGCCTCTGCAGGCGCAGCTCTGCCCGGGACAGCAACAAGGGATCAGGCACCGCTTCCCGGAGCTCTGACGTGTTGAAGAGCATGTATATGCTGTGAGAGCCAGACTTGATTTTTTTATAGATTTCTAGGAGGAAGGAGCAGAGATGGGATGTCAGGGGGTTGGCAGAAGCGAGGTTGCTGGCACACCCCAAATCTAAGAGCAGGGACTGGATGTTATTGAGTCTGCCTGACACTTCAAAACTGTGTGACCTTGAGCCAGTGGGTTCCTCTCTTGGGTCTGCTTTCCTCTGCAAAGTGGGGTCCTTTTCTCCCATTATGTGTGAAATGCCCAGTGGGGACGAGGCTGCCACCAAAGGGGCTATTCTGCTTGCTCAGGCCTCCCCCAGTGCTTGGAGCCTCAAATGCCAGTTAAAGTGCAGCGTAGGGATCAAGGGCATTTGTGTCTCTGCTGTCTTCCAGCTCTGGGGGCCTGGGTGACTCTCATTCCCTCCCTTGTTTCCTGTCATTCCTAGGGACCCAGCAGTGATACCAAGCTCCCTGCCTCCCAAACCAGACTCTCGTAACTGAAGTGCTGTGCAACTGTGGGCAAGTGAATTCCTCTCTCTTTGCCGGATACTCCTCTGTAAAACAAGGACACGCTGCGGGATGACAGCATGAAGTGAGACACTGCAGGTAAAGCATGTAGCAGTGAGCATACACCTGGGGCTAACGTGTTAGAGAGAGCACCCTTATGGGCCAGGCGCTCTTCAAAGCACTTTACAAGGGTTAAGACGATTAAGCCTCACAACTTGCCCATGAGGAAGATACTATCATTATACCCATTTTATAGATGGGGAAGCTGAGGCACGAAGAGATTAAGTAATTTGCACAAGGTCACATGACTAAGGAGCTGCAGAGGGGAAGTTCAATCGGAGACAGCCTGGTTCCAAAGACTGCTCTTAACCCCAGGCTATGCTGCTTCCTGCTAATGTGATATTATTATTACTATTAATTGCTTCCTCCCTTAATTCTCTCCATCAGCTGGCTAGAGAAGGCAAAGTTCATTCTAGATAGGGATAGCTGGGAATGGAGGGGGAGAAAATTAGGAAGAGGCTGGGATGAGGGGGATAGGACCAACTCGGTCAATTTGAGTAACTCTTTTTGGCTTCTGCGGTGGTTGGTGTCCAAGCGGTTGAGGCAGAATCTGATGAGAAAGGGCGGAGGAAACCCCCTCCGAGGGCCCCTACTCCTGTTCCCCTTGGGTCAGCCCTGAGGTTCCCCAGCAAAGAAGCCCTATCTTCACCTGGTGGCAACTCAGCAAACCCCAAAGGAAGGGTAGAGAGGCTGGGACCGAGCGATAGGGGGAAAGGGAAAGGAGGAGCAGGAAAGGCTGGAGAGGGATGGGTGCAGGCGGACACCGGGAGGCGGCTCGCGTCTGTGGGGCTGGGCTGCAGAGGAGGAAAAGCACGCACGGGGACCCCTACCCCCAGGAGAGATGGAGAGAGAAACGGGGGACCCCTACAGGGGCAGAGAGACTGAGGGGGAGGCCAGAGGGACGGGAAGGGAGACGGGGAACACACACAGCGGGAGAGAGGCAGGGTTTGGGGGCGGGAGGGGCACCGTCTGGGAGGGGGGAGTATCTGGTAGAGAAATCTCTGCCGAGAAACGGTGAGACACAGCCGTGGGGAGGCAGGAGCGTCATCTGGCTCGAGTCACAAACTGGGTGCGTGAATGAGCTGGGGCCCCACAAGCGTAGCGCCCAACAGAGAAAGTGAAAGTTGGGGGGCCGCCCCCCAAGTCTCCAGGCCACACGGGACGCCGGGTCCCCGCGTGGGCGCCGACCAGGCCGGCCCGGCGGCAGCTCAGCCCGAGGCGCCTCGGCCGCGAGGGCGGGGACCGACCTGCCTCGTCTCGCCCCAGGCCCCGCGCGCGCCATCCCCCGCCCCCCGGGCACGGGAAGGAAAGGGGGGTTGGTAGGGCGCGGTGGCCGGACGCTGGGGTTTCCCCGGCCTCGGGGAGAGGAACTAGGGCTTGAGGGGCCCGGCGCGGAGCCTGCAGCGGCGCGGGGTCCTCCTTCCCCCTTCCGGGCGCGCAGGCTCCTCCCCCGCGCGTGGCACCCACGTGGGGCGTCCTCACCCCTATCAGCTCGGCTCCCTCACCCCGAGCTGGTGAGTCGCACCCACCCACCTCGACCCTCCGCTGCTCCTCTCGGCCACTTCCTCCCGGCGGGGCGCGGGCGGGCGGGCGGGGGCGCGGCTCCCAGCAGGGCTGCGCTGCGCCCCGCCGACCCCCTCCGGGCCCGCTTTTCCCACGCTCGTCCTCCCCCTCCGGGAGCCCCTTCCCACGATCCAGAGCTAGGTTCCCGGAGCGCGCTTCCCCCGCGGGGTTCCTCCTCTCACGTCCATTTGCGAAACACACCGGACGCCTCCCCGCGCACCCCCGCCGCGTCCCGCGAGTCCCCGCTTGCCGGCCCCCGCGGGCGCCTGTCCCGCTCCGCCCGGCGCTGACCGCGCCTCCCCGCCGCGCCGTCCTCGCGCCCTCGGGAAGGGCTTCGCGCCGCTGTCCTGCACCGCCCGGGTCCGCCTCCCGCGGCTTTTCTGTCCTTGAATTCTCCGCCTCTGCTTGCCCCAGTGCTGGGGTCTGCGCTTCCCCCCAAACCTGGCTCCCTCTCCGCCACCCCCACCCCACGACCCCCGCGCTCCAGACGCGGCTTCCTTTGCTCACGGCTGCTCCCGCTTGGAGACCAGATACCTGGGGGGCAGGGGGCTCGTCTCTTATCCTTCGGGACCCCCACCCGCGCTCCCAGCGCCTCGCTCCGCAGGTCCTCTCTCCCCGGGCAGTTCCCAGGCCAGGAATTTCCTCCCCGGGACCCCGCGCTCCGGCGCCCCCTGGGGGCTCCCCCACCCCGCGCCCGCCCGGCGGCTCACCGTTGCCGTACTCCACCATGAGCACGCGGGAGACCTCCTTGGCGTAGTAGTCGGCCTCGGGCTCGGGCTCGGGCTCGGCCCTCTCCCCGGCCACCCGGTCGCGGGTGCTGTTGTACAGCGCCAGCACCGTCTCCGGCAGCGGGCCCGGCGGCACGTCGCCCTGGCTCGGGGGGCTGGCGAGCCGCAGCTTGGACAGGATCTGGCCGCGGATGGCCTCGATGCGCTTCCGCTTCACCAGCTCCATGTCGATGGTCTTGCAGGTGGAGAGGCCGGCGGCCGGCCGGCCGGGGGTCAGCACGAGCAGCCACAGCAGCGGCAGCAGCAGCGGCAGCAGCCGCAGCCCCGAGGGCGGCATGGAGGAGGCGGCGCCCCCGGCACAGCCGAGCGCGCGGGCCGGGCTGGGGTAGGAGGGGAGGCCCCGCCCCTGCCGGGGCCGGGGATCCTCTCGGGGAAGGTGAGCGGGTGCGAGGCCAAAGCTGGCCCTGGGAGGACGGCGGGAGGCTCGGGGTGGTGTCTCGGGACCCCGGGAGAGACGGGGAGGACGCGCTGGTGCCAGAGGTGGGCGGTCCTGAGAGGGGCAGCTGAGGCGGGTCTGAGGATTCTGCCTCCAGGTTCCCGAGCCGAGAGGGTCCTCGGTGGCGCTGGGGCTCTAGGGGGAGGCGGGGGCGGGGGGAGGCGGAGGGGGTGCGCCCGGAGTCGGGGGTCGAGTCTTCGCGGGAGTCGGGTCGCGGCTCCAGAGGGCTGGTCCGGAGTGGGGGCGCCGGGCACGCGCCGTGTGGGGGCAGGGGGCGCGCGAGCGTCCGAGGCGGGGCGTGGGGGATCGGCCCGGGGTCCCCGAGACCTGCCTCAGCGCGGGGCAGCGCCGCGCCAAGCGGTCCGCGCCTCCGGCTCCCAGCGGCAGCGGAAAAGTCTCAAAACTTTTTTCCTTTTCTCTCCACCGGCTCGTCCCTCCTCCCGCTCCTCCTCCTCCTCCTCCCCGCAGTGGCGGCGGGGGCGGCGGCTCGTCCCAGACTCTGGGGCCTCGGGCTGCTCCCCGGCAGCGCCTTCCTCCCTCCCGCCCGGCTTCGCTGGCGGCTCCGCCGGGGGGTGCCCCGAGGGGGGCGTCCCCCCTGGCCCCTCGGGGCGCTGCCCGGCGCGCGCGGAGGCGGGGCGGCCCGGCGGGCTGGGTGGCGCGCGGTGGGGACGCGGGCGGGCGGCGGGGGGTTTTGAAGCCGCCCGGCCCCACCCAGGAAGCGCGCGCGGGGCGGGGGCGGCTCCCAGGGGGAGGGCATGGGGGGGCCGAGCCACCCTCACCCCGCGTGGGCGGGCTCTGAGGGGGGTCCCTCAGGCCCCGGGGGGAGGGGTGGGCACCCCGCTCCGCCCCGCCGAGGGGGTGCTGCCTCCTGGCGGCCGCGCGCTACCCGGGCGGTCCACGGAGACTCGCGCGCTTGGAGCGCTGAGCAGGGGCCACCGAGGGAGAATGGAGACGGGGCCCATTAGAGGAGGGGTCACAGGGTACGGGGCTCAGTGGAGGAAAGTGGGGGCGGTGGAGCAAAGGAGGGGGGCCGTGAGGGAAAGGGACGCCCCCGGCGTGGGGAGGAGGGAGAGGCTGAGGCGGAGGCGATGAGGACGCGGGTCTGCCCCGAGAAGGGACCCCGAGGAAGGAGGGTGTGGCGGGGCTTGACGCAGGCTGACGGCGGTCAGGCGGGCACCAACACTGCGGAGCTGCTCGCCTTTATTGAGCACTCTCCCTGCTAAGCTGCCTCTTCTCACCCACATGTGACCGCCCCATTTTACAGCTGGGGAAACAGGACTCCGGAGTGGCAGTCACTGCCTGAAGGGCCCAGCGGGACAGAAGCAGTGCCTACCTTCGCAGGCTCAGGTCTGACTGTCCCCAGAGCCCACTCTTTTGACCATTGTGCCATCCTGCCCCTCCCGGGGGGTCTGGGGGTGTGGATACGGATGGGGCAGTCTGGCAGGGTCCCTCAGCATTCCACACCATAGCGGTCGAAGTGGCGCAGCAGCAGGCCCAACTCGAGGTGCACAGTGCCACCCGCGGCCGTGTGCAGGCGGTAGCGGTCAGCCCCGCTGTAGATGGCATCCCCGTGCAGCAGCTGAGGGCCACCACCCACGAAGGCCCGAGCCAGCTGCTCCCGCCAGCTGCCCAGGGGCCGCCATGTGGGGCAGTCCAGCTGATGAGTCCCTGGACTGCTGGGCACATGACAAAAGCCGTAACCAGCCAGCTGGCAGCGGCCGAAGCTGTCTTGGGACCACACCTGTAGATGAAGCCGGGGCCAGCCTGCAGGATGGGAGGGAAGGCGGTAAAGAGGGGAGGTATAGCCTAGCCACCTGCTCCCAGATACCCCTCTGTCCCTTCTCGGGGTTTCTGCCACATCCTCCTCCTTGAACTCCCATGTCTACACTGTAGCCAGAATGATCTTTCCACATCATGTCCCTCCCTTGCTCAGAACGCTTCCCTGGTGCCCCAGTACCCTCAGTGTAAAGTCCAGTCTCCTCAGCATTCATGGCCCTTTGGATCTAGCCTCTACAGACTGCCCTCTGTAGCCTCCTCTGTGCCCCCATGTCAGGGCACATGAGCCCCTTGGGTCATGTCTCTAGATGCCTCCCTCTTTCCTTCCCCACAGCCCTGTCCTGTCCTCCTCTCTGGGCTCAGGCCTTTAAGCTGTGACCCCCCCCATTCACCTTCCACCCGGCAGCTGGAAGCATCTTCCTCCCCCTCCAGAGGTTCCCCAGTGTCCTCGGTGTACAGTTTGGCTCTTGAGCCTTGAAGGCAAAGCCCTCTGGCCCCATTTCACCTCCATTCTTATTCCCCCTCTGTACCAGGCCCTCTCCTAGAAGCCGGCACACGGCTGTGAACAGAGCAGACAAAAATTCCCTTGGATAGCCGACATCCTAGACAGCGAATGTAGTGCATAAGCAGATTATAGGGTATGTCAGATGGTGATAACTGCTCTGGAAAAAACGCTGGGCAGGGTGGGGGTGGGGTGCAGTTTTAGAAAGGGGGTGATCAAGAAAAGTTTCTCTGAGAAAGTGACACTTGAGTGTTTTGTTTTTTTTTTAAATATTTTCCCCCATTCTATGGATTATTTTCGCTTTTTTTTTTTTTTTAAAGATTTATTTATTTATTTATTTATTTATTTATTTATACAAGCACTGGCTACAGTCAGAAGCACGGGAGGGTGAGAGAATTCACCAGAGCCAGAGCGGGGAGCAGAGCAGGCAGAAGGACCGAAGTACACTGCTGAGGGGAGCAGTGGGCGGCAGGAGAGGTCTGCGCGCCATGTGGGACCCTCCTCTGGTGGCCGGGGAGCAGCCGGGGATCGAACTGGCGCTGCAGAGGCCTCTGCAGGCAGCTTCGCAACCCAGCGCTCAACCACTGCGCCACCGGGGAGGCCCGGCACTTGAGTGTTTAAGGGAGAGAAGGGGGCCTCCCTGGTGGCACAAGGGGTTAAGACGCAACCTACAAAGCTGTCCGCAGTCACTGCAGAATGAGTTCAATCCCCGGCCAGGGAGCTACCCACATGGCGCAGCAGACCTCTCCTGACTCGCAGTGTATTTCAATCTGTCTGTTCTGTTCCCCACTCTGTGGTGAGTCCTCTCACCGCCCCCCAATACCTCTGGCCTGTACCCCAGTTCTTGTATGCATAAATAAATAAATCTTTAAAAAAAATAAAGGAGAGAAGGGAAAAGTGCACATCTAGGGAAAAGTGCTCTGTGTAGAGGGAACAGCTCGTGCAAAGGCCCTGAGGTGGAACACACCAGTGGAATCAGTGTGGCTGGAGGGAAAGTAGTGACAGAATCAGGCTGTGCAGGGCCTTGTGATCATGGTAAAGTTTGGGCTTTTATGCTGCTCATGGAGGGTCTGAATGGAGCGAACACCTGAGGTGATTCAGGTGTTCACAGGGACCCACACTATGGGGGTGGGCCTACTGTGATCATTCAGGAGAGGTGAGGGCGGGCAGATCTGGGTCTTGAAAGAGAGGAGGGAGGAGAAGTTACAGGATTTAGGATGCATTTCAAAAAGTAGAGCCAGTTGGATTCCTTGATGGACAGAATCGGGGGTTGAGAAAAGAGGCAAGGATGACAACATAGGGGTCATGGTGTCTGCAGGGCTGAAAGGGCAGTTATCTGTCTTACCCGGCAATCCATCACCCACAGGGCAGCCAGAGAATCTTTTAAGATTGCAATCAGTAGCCTGCTCTTGCTCCCCAGCGCCTTCAGGAGATGGCCTCAGCTCTGTGGCCTGGCATTCAGCGTCTGAATAGCCCACCCCCCTCCACCCCTTGTCTCCTCATCTCTTCAGTCTTGGTCCTCCAGATGCCCCTGCTGACTTTCTCCCTTGAACCAACTTCTTGGCCTAGAACCACCTTCTAGCCCTCTGCTTTATCAGCATCTATTGGCCCTTCACAACAAAGCGCAAACATCCTTCCTCCCAGAAGCCCTCGGTGAACTACCAGCAGAGTCAGGTACCTCCTCTGGGCTTCCACGGGCCTTTAGGATCCCCTATCACAGCCCTGCCCACTTGGGGCTGCCAGTGTCTGGGATGAAAAAGCCTGAGAGGACAGGGCTTGGGGGCTATCTCAATCAATGACCTCTCCCTGGCCTTACCCAACACAGCCTGGGCAACAGGGCAGGCAATCAGTAGATATTATTCATGTTGTTGAAATATATAGCATCTTTACTTAGATCAATTCTTAGAAACTACTTGTCTCCAAGGACCCAAAATTTCTACCAGAAAAGCTTTTCTGGTAACTCTCCTCCCCAACATACTCACTTCCCCTCTAAGCAGTACCTCACTTCTCAAGCTGAGAACTCCTGCCTGCAGAACAGCTACCAGCCCTGGGATGGGGGTTGGGCCGGGAATGGGGGGCCGGCTAACCTCCTCCCAGTTCCTCCTGATTAAAGACACTGTTGGCCTGTCTTTAAAAGATACCCTGCGCCTTCCTGGTGGTGCAAGGGCTTAAGTCTAAGCACTGTGAAGCTGTCAGCAGCCACTACAGCACAAATTCAATCCCCAGCCAAGGAGGTGACCCACATGGCAGGGCGGCCTCTCCTGTCTTCGCCCACTGCTCCCCTCAGCAGTGTATTTCAGTAGATCTGCCTGTTCTGTTCCCAACTCTGTCTCTGGTGAATCCTCTCACCCACCACACCTCTGGCCTGCACCCCAGCTCTTGTATGCATAAATAAATAAATCTTTAAAAAAATAAAAGCTATCCAGTCCTCACCCTGGTCACACCTTGCCCTCTCTCCACCAGCCCTAACCCCTGCCCTGGTCCCACACCTTCTAGACCAGGGATACAGTTCAGCTTCTCCAGGGCCAAGCTTGGTGGGGAAAGGCAATAGGGAGCAGAGATAGAACTTGATGTGCAGAGCCCCAGCAGCTCTGGGTGCTACTAGCCCCATTCCCTCAATTTGGCCTGGGATGCAAGCCTGGAACCTACCTTGGAGACCTTTGGTGGCAAAGTGCAGGTCAATGGGGTGGGACCAGTACGCCATGTCCCCGATCTGGGGGGTGTCCACCTGTGTTTGGCCTTCCCGCAGGCCCGATAGGAGCTTCCATGCCGCCCCTGCAATGAGAGCCACGACACAAACAGATGGGGGGTAGAGGTGGCAGGCCATCATTGGGAAGGGATGCCATTGGTGGAGGGAGAACCCCATCTCTCCTTTCTCTCCTTGGCATTTGGAAGTCACAAAGCGTGGACTCTGGAGCCAAATGCCTGGGTTCAGCTCCTGGGACTACTTTTTCCTGCCTATGCAGCCTTGGGGAAGTTCCCTTTCCCTGCCTCAGTCTCCTCATCTGTAAAGTGGGTGTAATGATAATGTATTCTTTCTAATTTGGGTATGAGAACTGTTGATCTTTTGATTCTATTCCTCCCAGAGAAGGTCTTTGTGTTCCTTGCTTTTATCTACCGTCATGTGGAGAACGGTAGGGAATGAATACACACGTAAGGTACAGCTATTGCTAAGGGAATCTTGGCCGACAAGCAGCTGCAAATTTGGTGGGTATGGGTCAAGCAATGAAAAGCTGTTAGAGCACTTGCCACCTCAAGGATAGGTTGGTCACTGAGAGGCTCAGATTGGCACTGGACCACCTGCCAACCTCTCCAGACAGCTTACATGCCATGAGGTACTCTGTAGAACTAAAGGCTGCCCTCAGGCCTAGCTGAAATTGCTAATGTGCATGTAAACCAAACATAACAAAACTAAATAAAACCCAAAAGAACCTAAGGGAAGAATTTTTCTAGTTTCTTTGCCCTAAGGCCAAGGTTTTATAACCTCCTTGGTCTCCACCACTAGGGAAGAGAGTGCTGGCTCTCTGCAGTTTTTCTTAGAACTATATTCTTCAGGAGTAAATTATCTCTATCTTGGGAAACCAGAAAAAAGGCATATTGGTTTGAATTGCTATTTGGATTATTAAGATAATGGCCAGATAAGGATACTTTGAATTGGAAAAACTATATTTGAAAAGTTTGTTTGTTTTTTACTTAGAGTTTCTTAGCAGTTAGCATCTGGGTACCTACAGGAACAGGAAAGGAAAAAAAGGAAACGGAAGCTGGTTTAAATTTAAGGCATTTCTTTCCACTACCTTAGCAGGGGCTCTGGGTCCTAGAGTGACAATATACTTTGCACCCTCTTGGGTCCATGAAATTGTTCAATATTCTCAGAAATATTTGCTGTTCATCTGGCTGAAATCTGACAAACTCTCTGAAAGGATCAAAAGATCTTTTTTTTTTTTTTTTTTTTTAACAAAATAACTCCATGATCAGAAATTTTACCAAAGGGAAAGCTAATAATCAGACCCCATAGGGATTTTTTAAATTGTTCTGACTTTCTGACTTTCTCCCTTAAGCGAAATGTCGTTGCAGATAAAATACTCTCCACTTAGCAATATCAGAAATAGGAATCTAGAGATAGTATCAGCCCCAGAGCCTTGCATCTCAGGTATTATCTTAATGGATTTTCTCTCTCTCTCTCTCTCTCTCTCTTTCTCTCTCTCTCTCTCTCCAATCTTCAGGGAGACAAGACACAGAAAACAAGAGGAAAAAAAACAGGAAGCGAGGGGAAGCCCTTTTAACTCTACAGGCGGCTGCTATGGAAATTATAGCCCAGGTACGGGTAGTACTTTTCAAAGATAATCTGAGCCACCTACTCACTGTTTGCTTTTTTTTTTTTTTTTTTTTTGGTAAAGATTTATTTATTTATGCATACAAGAACCGGGGTACAGGCCAGAGTTGCGGGGGGTGAGAGGATTCACAAGAGACGGAGTGGGGAGCAGAACAGGTGGATCTACTGAAATACACTGCTGAGGGGAGCAGGGGTGAGACAGGAGAGGTCTGCTGTGCCATGTGGGTAGCTCCCTGGCTGGGGATCAAACTTGTGCTCCAGTGGCTAGCGATAGCTTCATAGTGCTAAGACTTAACCCACCAGGGACGCCCCCCTACTTGTGGTTTTGATATGAATGCACCCATGATGGCAGATGGCTCCTTGCCTAGACTCTGGCCCACAGCCCCAATGGGACTGCTCATCAAAGGGCCCAGTTGTTCTTTTAAAAAATGAGTTTTTACATTGTACGTGACTCACCGCAAGCACGTTTTTTTTAGTGTCTGTTTATATCTGATTGTACATTTGTATATTGTGCATGTCTTCCCATGTGTGCTATGTATGTGACATTCCCACCTCTGGATGGCATTACTGAAATTAACTTGTAAGTGGGTTTAATTATAAGCATTTATAGGGCCTCCCTGGTGGTGTAAGTGGTTAAGATGCAGCCTATGAAGCTATCCACAGCCACTGCAGCATGTGTTCAATCCCTGGCCAGGGAGCTCTACTTACATGGCGTAGCAGACCACTTCTGTCTCGCTCGCTGTTTCCCCTCAGCAGTGTATTTCAGCAGATTTGCCTGTTCTGCTCCTCACTTTGTCTCTGGTGAATGCTCTCACCCCCACACCTCTGGCCTGTACCCCAGTTCTTGTATACATAACTAAATAAATAAATTTAAAAAAATAAGCATTTATAAAAGTTATTTCCAAACACTGTCAAACAACTGAAACTAACCCAAATGCTTGTATTCGAGTTAATGTGACCTGGGATAATTTTTGGTAAATGAAAGCTAGCTTAAAATGGATGGTTTTATCTAAAACAAGGCTATCTATAGAGTTAGAACATTCGGTATTTATTAATGGGTTTATTAATCAAAATAAGCTCATATTATTTAACAAGAAAAATATCGCTAGTATCAAGAGACAACAGGCCTAAGATGGAGTTGTTACTGCAAAGCTCATGTCACCAAATTCAAGACTTAATACTTCACTGACTTGCAGTTGCAACCCAGAAACGTCAGCCTGGAATTTCGGGTCAGGTAAACTTGCTTGACAGACTCCCATTCAACATAGTTGCTAGGAGTAAATGTTTTAAATAGATGTCCATGGGATAAGACTTTTAAAGTGAACGTTCTAGCAGTAGTTTTGTTTGTCTCACAAATATCTTTGGTAACATGAAACATTTAGAGTTTTGCTGTGTTAAAATTCATTGACTATGTCGATCATTCCCTAATAAGATAAACTGTTGAACCCTTAATGATTGGATGAACTAAGGTTACTTTTGGCTTCTTATTTCAGGAGAACTAAAGAAATTTGGGCCTTTTAGTAAACATGCCTTATGCCCCACTGAAAAACTATACTACAAGGAAGTGTCCTAGAAATGATGAAAATTTATTTGTAAGTTTTCCAATCTGATATGGTGTAACTGTTCACAACTGCTTTCTGCTTAGTTTTCATTAGAAATGAAGGTTTCTAAGGGTTAAGAATTGGAATTAATGTATTAATTAAAGCTAATGGAAATAATTGGAAAAGTATCTTTGCAAGCAAAGAAGTAAGATACATGTTTTCAGTAAGGGAAGGTATAAGGAATAGAGCTGAGTTTTTATTATTATTATTTTTTTTTTTTGAATCCTCGCTGCAGAGGCTGCGGACAGCTTCACAGCACGGCACCAATTGGGAGGCCCAGAACTGAGTTTTTAATTAAGGGGAAAGAATGTAGATTTTGTTCTAAAGAAAAACAGGTATTTTGGAAAGGGAAATAGGAAGGAAATGGAGCAAAATATGAAAGTAAAAAGTTGTAAAAGAGGAGGGCCTCCCTGGTGGCTCAAGGGGTTAAGACAGCACTATGAAGCTACCCGTAGCCACTGCGCCGTGGGTTCGATCCCTGGCCAGGGAACTACCCACATGGCGCAGCAGACCTCTCTTGACTCGCCCGCTGCCCCCCTCAGCAGTGTATTCAGTATATTTCAGCCTGTTCTGTTCCCTACTCTGTCTCTAGTGAGTTCTCTCATATTCCACATCTCTGGCCTGTACTCCAGTTCTTGTATGCATAAAATAAATGAATCTTTAAAAAATAAAAAAGTTGTAGAAGGGGAAAGGAGCCTTTTTATCAGAGAAACCTGTCTATAAGACAGGGCAGACAACTAATGACAGAGCGTCTGGTCTGTGTCATATGAGCTCTGAGTTCCCCACCCCACCATGTGAGTTCCCTTCCTTTCTCCATGAAGCCCCAGACCCTCACCCCATTCTTTAGCTCAGGATACATATACTCATTTTGCCCATTGGTTTTAGAATCTACATCTATGTGGTGTTTCCCCATGTTATTGAATTTGTTCTTTTTTCTTGCTAATCTGTCTGACATTAATTTGATTGCTCAGCCAGCCTGAAAATGACCCAGAGGGGTAGGGAGAAATTTCTTCCACACCACCACAGCCCACAGGGCCCCTCGTGGCCTGGCCTGTACCTCCTTTTGTGAGCTCATCTCCGCATCTCTGTCCCTAGCCCTTACCAACCTCTAGCCTCCTGGTCATATTTTTATTCCTCTTCCTCAGGGTCTTTGCATTGACTGTTCCCTCTGCCTAGAAAGCCCTTCTACATGTTGCCAGCCTGGCTTTGCATCCTTTAGGGATTAGCTCATGTGCTGCTTTCACAGAGAGTTATGCGTTAGCCTCCTATCCAAAAACGAAGTCTCTAGCATATCATCCCTTTTCTTCCTAGTACCTACTGTGGATCAGTCTCCCTAAAATGGTCCCATAGGCTTTCTCAATATGCCCAGGGTAGGCCTCTTCCAATAAATGTCACCTTGGTATGAGGAACCAAATGAGGCCCCAAGAACCTCTGTTCAGGAATACAGATAGAAGTTGAAGACCAGTGAAGGGCCTTTCTGGTCTCAGCTCAGTCCTTTGTTCCTGTCCTAATCAAATGGGCAATCCCTGAGGCCTCTGTTTTTGATGACTGAGAAGAATGTAGTTTCTGGGAAGGGTATCATCCAGGAGCTGGTATATCAGTCAATATGACCTCTCTGTCTGAGAATTTCATCTTTACTCTTTTGAGTAAAGATGAGATAATCCCCTCCTTAACATTTGAAGACTCCCCCTTTCTCTCTCTTTGATGGTCCAGGTCCTTAAACACAGAGGGATGGGGGGTTTCCCTCAGAGCTCTGACACTACCCTTGTCTGTAGTCATGGTTCTCATTTCTTTATCTGCTTATTCAAATTTTTCTCTCCTCCTGTGAGTCCCAGCAAAGTAGGGATCTTGTACTTAGCTGGATCCCCTGAACCTCAAGCCCCACTTTTGAGACACAGAAAGTACTCAGTAAATGTTGCACAAGTGACCCTAGGTGGTGGGTGCTAATCGGACACCCAACTGACAGGTAAAACAACAGCCTCTGAGAATGAAAGTCACTTGGCTGTTCATCCCATAAACATGGATTGAACACCTCCTGTTAGCCAAGCAATGTTCTCAGTGCTGGGGTACTGTAGACCAAGTTTCCATAAACTGAGCTAGATTCAAACTGGGATCCGTGTAAGTGCAGAGCCCAAGTCCTTTACCCAAGCCCTGTGTGCTCTCTGCTGGATTAAGGCCCCTACCCTCATCCTGCTGAAACAGTAAGTCATGTAAGTTACTATTCCTTCTGGGTCAGATGAGGAAAATACCAAGCTCCCAATCAGGATCTTCACATACAAGATATCCCAATGGCCCTAAGAAGGACAATGATTCCATTTTACATATGAGAAAACCGAGGCTCCCAGAAGGGACCATTCCTGCCTAGGGTCAAACAGAGCAGGTGAGAGACAGGATCCAGACTAGAAACCATTTTTTTTTTCCCTATTATTTACTCAACCAAAGGATCCCAAATTCCCCAGGAATCACAACCACCCACCTACCCACCAGTGAAATCACAAAGGACCCAGGGCCTGAAGAGATAATGGCGGTACCCACACTTGTTTCCTGGATGTTCCTCTGTGCGAGGCAACATACCGGGGGCCTTACCCAAAAAACTCCATCCAGGTTACACAAGCCAGGCATGCCCTTATGGAGCACTTGCTGAGCAATGATCCCAAGAGATAAATATTGTTAATATTCCCATTGTAGAGACCAGAAAACTGAGGCACACACAAGTGCCCAAGGTCACATAATTAATAAGCAACAGCAGGTTTTGAACTCAGGCTGTCTGCACTCTACCTCAGCTCTGCTGCCTCTGAGATGCTATTAGCTTCCTTTTTGGGCAAGGAAACTGAGGGCTGAAGAGGTCAAGTCCAAAGACCTCCCCCTACTAAATAAGTGGGTGAGTTAGTATATGGGCCTAGATCTAGTAGCCTGTGCCCCAACCACTACACTGTACCACCACACTATACTGCTCCTGAGGGGAGGCTTGACAACTGGGGCCTCTGAGGTGTGTGTCCAGGATCTACCATTTGGATTAACAAAACGGGGTTCCTACCTTCTCACGGAGAATTATGAATAGAGGATGGCTTCACCTCTGTAAATCTGGGATTAAAACTTCCATTTTACATATAGTAAGAACTCAATAAATGGAGACTATTAAGCAAAGAATTAATAAGATCTGGGAGGGATCCAGGACACTCATACGACAGTGAATAAAGTCCAAACAGTGAAGGATTAGTGTTAGCTTTGAGGATTGGGAATGTTTGTGGCTAGCCTCATGGAGTCTCATGTTCCTAGGAACTGTGTATTCAGACTGTGGGAGTCAGAGCCCCCAGAGACGGGAAGGGGTAAGAAGGGAGCCTCAGACTCCCGCGGCCAGTGTGGTCCGACTGAGAGTTCTGAGTGCCCATGGAAGAGGAGGCTCAGGGACTGGGTGAGGGATCAAGGAGCAGGCAGAGGGAAATGAATCAGATTCCGGAATACCTGTGTGGACGCCCCACTTGCAGAAGAGGCTACTTTCCGAGAAACCGGTGGCCCCCATGATTTGACCAATCACGTGCACCTCAGCCATGGCCCTGCGAGGGGGAAAATATAATGACAGCCCTGTGAGGGAAGTGTATCATTATCTCCATCTGAAGGATGGTGAAACTGAGGCTCGCCAAGTAAGGAGCTGTGCTGGGACCCCACGCTGGTTTCGACAAACCATGGAAGTTTGCGGTTTTAAGCATGATCTTAATTGCCCGCCCAGGAGAGCCCCTGGGAGGGAGGCTGAGCTGAGCAGCCCACTTCCTCCGTCCCAGCGCCGCGCAAACCCCGCCCCAGGGACCGATGACTCCACCCACAAGCACAAGGCCCCGCCCCGTCGGCCCCGCCCAGCTCCATGAGGCGCATGCGTCGAAGTGTAGGGCCGCCTTGGCCCCGCCCCTAGGGCCGCACATGCGTTTTTCCTACCTCGGCGCTCCTAACGGTTAGGAAGAGCGGAAGCCGCCGCAGGAGCGGTAGCGCATGAGTCTGACTGACGCTCTCCGCGGGCGCCGGCTCTCCGGGCCTGGCCCGCGCCTCTCCCAGCCCGCCCCAGCAGCGAGAGCGGAGGCTCCGAGCCTTCCGAAGCCTCGCCCGCCTCGGGCTCCTTGGTGGTTGCTAGGGCAACAGGAGCCCCCCCCCAACCGCTGCTTGAACCCCGCCAGCTGATTGGCCCTGGCCGCCCGCTCGGGGCGGGGCTGGCCGTGATGGACATTTTCTCTCCGCCACGCTCCATTTTGAGGAACGCGTCTCTCCCGCCACGACCCACGGTCGCGCCATTTGGGGCGTGGCTGGGCGGCTGCCATCTTGAGTGTGGCTGAGGAAGTTTGATCGCTGTTTCTCCCAGGTACCTCGAAGCAGATCCATCTACACTCCAGGCTTACGTCCCTCCCCCATCCCAAACGCCTTCCCGTTCCGGGACCACCACTCAGACACTTGCGCCAGGGCTAAGGGGGGCATCCCCTTCAAGTCATTGTGTGCATCCCCCTGCCTCATAACTGGGGGCGGAGGGCGGGAAATAACCCTCCCTTAGGCAGGCTCGAGAAGTTGGGGCGGGGGTTTCCTTCCCCTTTTTGAGGGTTCAGCGACCGATAAATCCGACTTCCTTCTCAGAATTACTGCCCGCTTCTTTGCTGTTCGTGCTGGTTCTGAGCAAGGCAGGGAGAAGTATGAGAAATGAGGAACTGAAGCCTCTTTATCTGCAGAAAACCTGGGCCTTGCAGATTGCATTCGGCCAGGCGTTCCTCTTGTGACTGCGCGGCTGTGGGTGTCAGTCGTCTCGTCCGTGCAATGGGCACCGGCCAGAGCAGCGCCTGCCCCACCCGCTCAGCACGGTCCCTCCTTCCTCCAGCCCAGGGGCCGATAGGAGTTTACTCCCTTACATTTTAGCAAAACGGGGGCTTTTGCTTTTGTTCCCCTTGCTGTTCTGGACAAAATTTTTTAAATGACCTCTTCTGCCCTCAGTTTTGCCGGGCTGATCCTTACTTTTAATCAAAGTACTTCATTTTTAAAAAAAATTTATTTATTTATACATACAAGAACTGGGGTACAGGCCAGAGATGTGAGGGCTGATAGGATTCACCAGAGACAGAGTGGGGAACAGAACAGTCAGATTGACTGAAATACTCTGCTGAGGGGAGCAGCGGCCGAGTCAGGAGAGGTCTGCTGTGCCATGTGGGTATCTCCCTGGTCGGGGATTGAACTTGTGCTGCAGTGGCTGTGGCTAGCTTTATAGGTTGCATCTTAACTTTTTGTGCCACCAGGGAGGCCCCAGTACTTCATTTTTTAAAATGGCAATGTTACATCTAAACTTATAACACAGCGGCTCCACTGTTGCCAGCGCTGGGTATCTTGTGACTCTTTAGTGTTAGGTGAAGTCAATGCGAAATGGCTAGACAAAGTATTTAGACTCCAATTTCTGCTCAGCTGTGCAATTAGGTAAATGCGATATAGCTGTGCATGATCAAATTGACTTATATTTGTGTATAATCGATGCTTTGCTAGAGGACATATTTTGGTAGTATAAAAATATGGGACAATTTGGAGTAAGAAAGTATCTGAAGGAAACTACATGGGATTTTTAAGTGGTTTTCAAAATTCAAACCTACTTTAAATTGCACGTTTAGATTTACTTTTAAAATTTATATTGAGCTAAGGTTGATAAACATAGTTCTTTGCATTTTGGCAATACTCCCCTCTTCCAGTGCTGTAACCATAGTATTCCCGCCACCAAAGCACCTATAGTCCATCGCCGTAGTCCATTGTGCCCTACTTTGTGTTTGCTTCTTCTCCTCAAAAAGTTCCTACCTTTTTTTTTAAGGTTTGGCAAGATCTTTATTTTTTTTTATTTTTAAGATTTATTTATTTATTTATACAAGCACTGGGTACAGTCAGAAGGCGGGAGGGTGAGAGAATTCACCAGAGCCAGAGAGGAGAGCAGAACAGGCAGAAGGACTGATGTACACTGCTGAGGGGAGCAGCAGGCGGCAGGAGAGGTCTGCGCACCATGTGGGACCCTTGCCTGGTGGCCGGGGATCGAACCGGTGCTACAGAGGCTGCGGGCAGCTTCGCAACCCAGTGCTCAACTGCTGCGCCATCGGGGAGGCCCGTTCCTTCCTTTTTAAGGCTGAATAATAGTCCATTTTTTTTATCCAGTCACCTATTAATGGATACTTGGGCTACTTCCACCTGCTGGCTGTTGGGAGTATTGCTACTATGAAAATGGGTGTGCAAATCTCTCAAGTCCCTGCTTTCAGTTCTTCTGGGTACGTACTCAGAAGTATACTCAGAAGGGGAATTGCTGGGTCATATATGGTAATTCTATTTCAAGTTTATTGAGGAACCACCTTACTGTTTTCCATAGTGACTGTTACAGTATGTACACTTTTTTCACTGAGTGATGCATCTTGGAATTTATTCATATTAGTGTATAAAGATCTGACACATTCTTTATCCAAACTAACTCTTTTGAAGTGCACAGATCATAACTGAACTGCTGGATTAAATTTCATTAAATATGTCTCCAAACCAAAACTCTGCTCAAGAACATGACCATCAGGGGCCCAGGTTGCACCTGAGGATAACCACTCTGGGATTCTAACAACATGGATTTATTTTATTTAAAGATTTATTTATGAATACAAGAATTGGGGTGTAGGCCAGAGGTGCAGGGGGTGAGAGAATTCACCAGAGATAGAGTGGGGAGCAGAACAGGGGGATCTACTGAAGTACACTGCTGAGGGGAGCAGAGGATGAGACAGGAGAGGTCCACTGCACCACGTGGGTTGGCTCCCTGGCCAAGGATCGAACTTATGGCTGAGGATAGCTTGATAGTGCTGAGATTTAACCCCTGCATCACCAGAGAGGCCCAACATGGATTAATTTTGCCTGGTCATGTACTTTATATAAATGAAATTACACAGTATAGATTGATGGTGTCTGCTGTTTTTTGCTCAATGTTTTTGTGGAATTAATCCATGCTGTTGCATGTGGCTGTCAATATTTCTTTGTCTTTCCTGTTTAGTCACCTCTAATCCATATGTTTTGGAGCATTTGTCTTTTGGTGGCCAGATGTGTTTGCGTCTGGTTGGGATGGAACTGCAGGGTGATAGATGTTCAGCTACAACACTGACTAACAGTTGTGGTGGTTGGACCAATTTGTACTCCTCTCCTCCACCCCTCACCAACATTTAGTGTTCTTTATCATTTGAATCATTCTGGTGGCATTTTTATTTATTTCATTTTGATTTTTTTTTTTTTTTATTTTCATTTTGATTTTAATGTGTATTTTTCCGATGACTAGTTGATTGTCTTTTTTAATGTTCATGATTATTTTGAATTTCCTCCTTTGTGAAGTTTTTGTTCAATTATTTTGCCTATGTATATATATAAATATACATACAATTATTTTACACATACACATACACACAATTATTTTACATGTATATATACATACATACCTATAAGAATATGTAGGTATGTATGTATATGTATGTACAGAGGTTTTCCCGCTATCTAAAAGTAGAGCATTCCGATTTGGTATGTTTTAAGGTCAACTCAGGCCTTAGTGGTAATAGTGCTGAAACTTAACCCCTGGCCCAGTTCTACACACACATAAACACACACATACACACACACAAACACACGCATTAACAGTAATAGTGTTCATTACATAAACACATCTATATGTACATACACATCTGTATGTACACATGTATCTGTATGTACACACACACCTCTATGTCCCTATTCATAATTTATTATTATTATTTTTTAAAGATTTATTTATCTATGCATACAAGAGCTGGGGTACAGGCCAGAGGTGTGGGGGGTGAGAGGATCCACCAGAGACAGAGTGGGGAACAGAACAGGCAGATTGACCGAAGTACACTGCTGAGGGGAGCAGTGGGCAAGGCAGGAGAGGTCTGCTGTGCCATATGGGTTTCTCCCTGGCCGGTCGGGGATCCAACTTGTGCAGCAGAGGCTGTGGATTGCTTCACAGTGCTGTGCTCAACCCTCTGTGCCACCAGGGAGGCCCCCATAATTTATTATTTTTAAAAGTAAAATCCTCCTGAGAACACGAGAAATCTCTTATATAACCAATTTAACATTTTCAACAGTGTCAATTGAACACTATACAAAATGTCCTTTGATTTATAGTTTACATATGTCCCAACAGCATGCTTGGTCAGTATCTTCCCAACATCCAGGATCATACTTTGTGTTTCACTCATCATGTTTCTTCAGTCACCTCTAATCTAGAACAGGCCTGCTGCTTACAAAAAATTTTTTGTTGTTGTTATTGTTTTGGTTTTCATGACACTGACATTTTTTGAAAAGTATAGGCCAGCTACTTGGCTTTGTCTTGTGTTTTGTCATGATGAGATTCAGATGATGCATTTTGGGCAGGGAAACCACAGAAATGATGTCGAGGTCTTTCTCAGGACAGATCAGGAGGCACTGATGTCAGCTTGTCCCATGACTGCGATGTTAACTTCTACCACCCGTTTATGGTGATACCTGGCAGTCTTTGCCATTAATACTATTTTCCCCCAAGCACAAATAAACAGGATCATCAATGAAAGAGGAGAAATCACAACGGACACAGCAGAAATCAAAAGAATAATCAGTAACTACTATGAACAGTTATATGGAAACAAGTTTAACAATCTAGAGGAGATGGACAAATTCCTACAACTCTACAATCACCCAAAGCTAGATAAAGAAGAAATAGAACACCTAAAACAGACCAATTACAATTAGCGAAATTGAAATGGTAATCAAAAACCTCCCCAAAAACAAAAGCCCAGGACCTGATGGATTTACAAATGAATTCTACCAAACATTCAGAGACGAATTAGTGCCTATCCTTCACAAACTCTTCCAAAAAATTGAGAAGGAAGGGACAATACCAAACACGTTCTATGAAGCCAACATTACACTAATACCAAAACCGAACAAGGACAACACAAAAAAGGAAAACTACAGGCCAATCTCCCTAATGAACACTGATGCAAAAATCCTCAATAAAATTTTAGCTATCAGAATCCAACAATGTATCCATAAGATAATTCACCACGACCAAGTTGGATTCATTCCAGGGGCACAAGGATGGTTTAACATCCGAAAATCAATCAACGTTATCCAACACATCAACAAAAAGAAATATAAAAACCATATGATAATATCAATAGATGCTGAGAAAGCTTTCGACAAAGTGCAACACCCATTCATGATAAAAGCCCTAGAAGTTCTTGGGATACAAGGAACATACCTCAACATCATAAAGGCCATCTATGACAAGCCAACAGCCAGTATCATTCTCAATGGTGAAAAGCTGAAAGCAATTCCATTAAGATCTGGAACAAGACAAGGATGTCCACTCTCACCATTGCTTTTCAATATAATACTGGAAGTCCTAGCCAGGGCAATAAGACAAGAGAAAGACATCCAAGGAATCCAAATAGGAAAAGAAGAAGTCAAACTATCACTATTTGCAGACGATATGATATTATACATAGAGAACCCCAAAAACTCCACAGAAAAGCTAATTCAACTCATCAATCAGTTCAGTAAAGTGGCAGGATACAAAATCAACACGCAAAAGTCAGTAGCCTTCCTATACACAAACAATAAATCTGAAGAAGAAGAAATCGAAAAGACCATCCCTTTTGTTATTGAAACAAAAAAAATCAAATATTTGGGAATAAATCTAACAAAAGAGGTAAAGGACCTATACAAAGAAAACTATAAAACACTGTTAAAAGAAATAGAAGAAGACACAAAGAAATGGAGAGACATCCCCTGCTCATGGATTGGAAGAATAAACATTATTAAAATGGCCATCCTCCAAAAGCAATATACAGATTCAATGCTATTCCAATCAAAATTTCAATGTCATTCTTCAAAGAAATAGAAAATTATTGATGAAATTCATATGGAATCACAAAAAACCCCGAATAGCCAAAGCTCTCCTGAAAAAAAAAGAAGGGAATGGAGGCATCAGACTCCCAGACTTCAAACTATACTACAAAGCCATAATCATCAAAACTGCATGGTATTGGAACAAGAACAGACATACAGACCAATGGAATCGAATAGAAAATCCAGAAATAAACCCACAGATTTATGGTCAACTAATCTTTGACAAAGGAGCAAAGACTATGCATTGGAGCAAAGAAAGTTTGTTCAATAAATGGTGCTGGGAAAACTGGGTCGCTACATGCAAAAGAATGAAGCTTGACCACCACCTCACACCATACACAAAAATCAACTCAAAATGGATTAAAGAACTAGACATAAGACCTGAAACCATAAAATATATAGAAGGAAATATAGGCGAAACACTACGTGATTTGCACATCAAAGACATCTTTACAGACACATCACCCAAAGCAGTGATAGTGAAGGCAAAGATAAACAGCTGGGACTATATCAAATTAAAGAGCTTTTGCACAGCAAAAGAGACAATAACAAAAACAAAGAGAAACCCCACCAACTGGGAGAACATTTTTGCACCCAACACTAATGATAAAGGACTGATCACAAAAATCTGCAAAGAGCTGATGAGACTCAACAACAACAAAGAAAATAATCCAGTCAAAAAATGGGCAGAAGAGCTTAAAAGAAACTTCTCTGAAGAGGAAATGCAAATGGCCAACAGGCATATGAAAAAATGTTCAACATCACTTGTCATCAGGGAAATGCAAATCAAAACTACCATGAGATACCATCTTACACCAGTGAGAATGGCACATATTAAAAAAACTAGCAACAACAAATGTTGGCGAGGGTGGGGAGAAAAAGGAACTCTTCTGCACTGTTGGTGGGAGTGCAAACTGGTCCAACCTCTGTGGAAAGCTGTGTGGAGATTTCTGGACCTACTAAACATAGAGCTTCCATATGACCCAGCAATTCCACTCCTAGGTATTTACCCAAAGGACACAGAAACATCAATTCCAAAGAACACCTGCACCCCTATGTTTATAGCAGCACTGTTTACAATAGCTAAGCTTTGGAAACAACCCAAATGCCCAAAAATAGATGACTGGATCAAGAAGATGTGGTACATATATACCATGGAATATTACTCAGCATTCAAAAAAGATAAACACATGCAATTTGCTGCAACATGGATGGCGCTGGAAGGGATCATGCTCAGCGAAATAAGCCAAAAAGAAAAAGAAAAATACCGGATGGTCTCACTCATAGCAGGAATCTAGAAAACTTAAATAATGGACCAGGAAAATGAAAAACTATAAGAAAGTGAAAATCAAAATCAACAAAAAACTATGAACCAGAGACACTTTTAGGGGGGCGGGGGCGGGAGGGGAGGGATTGGGGTCAGAATGGGGGGCGGCAATTGTATGGGGAATATAACAATAAAATTTATAAAAAAAAAAAAATACTATTTTCCCCCTTTGTAATAAACAAGTAATCTGTGGGAAGTTACTTAAGACTAATAAATATCCCGTTCCTTTTTTAAAAACCTTAACATCCCACAACCAGTGTTTGTTATAAACCTGGATGCGTATGATGGGCGTATCGGTAGGACTTCTGGTAGTGAGTATAGATTTCAGGGCCTCGGAATTTTTCTGATTGGCAGTAATGGGGGATCGGCCACCAGCAGGGTCGGCTCATACTTGATAAGGATATCTTTGATCGATCACCTTGGGAGCCTCATCGGTGTATTCCTATTAATAGGAAACCAGGGCTTTGGAGATGGACTGGCTAGTTGCATAAAGCTGGGCCATATAACCACCTTCCTACCCACTGGCTTGGATGTCCATGCAGGTGAATTGCTTCTTGCCCAGAAGCAAAACAGGTCAGAATGGCTGGTAGTGTAGTGCACAAGGCTCCATCATCTCCTGTGGCCTCCAGTGCCGTGAGGAGGCCGTGGCCCCATTTGCAGTGGGCCATGACTATAGCCCTCTTCTTACATCCAAACCACCTACCGGACCGCTGCAGGCCCTTGCACAGCATGGCTGTGGGTGACAAGAGCTTCTTACTGCCTGGTGCCACATCCAGAAACATTCTGCTTCTCATAAAATCAGTGTTTCAAGCCTCCATTGATGATCCTGGCTGCAGTCTGGTGTTTCATGCTCCCGGATTGTCATTCCATGGAAGGGGTGAAGCTGGGGAGACTGCACAAGTCTGATGGCGACCAGAGAGATCTAACTGGAAGTCACTGAATCTCTAGGGAGGGCAAGGGAGACAAAAGTACCCATAGAACTCAGGGCTTTTTTTTTTTTTTAAGATTTATTTATTTATACAAGAAGTGGGGTACAGGCGAGATGTGCGGGAGGGTGAGAGGATTCACCAGAGACAGAGCGGGGAACTGAACAGGCAGACTGATGAAATACACTGCCGAGGGGAGCAGCGGGCATGACAGGAGAGGTCTGCTGTGTCATGTGGGACCCTTGCTAGCCAGCCGGGATCAAACTGGCGCTGCAGAGGATGCAGACAGCCACACAGTGCTACACTCAACTGCCTGCACCACCAGGGGAGGCCCAGAACTCAGGGCTTTGGTGAAACACTGAGGCTGGTGGGAATGCATGCCCCCATCCCACAAATAGGTATCAACGGTTTATGCCAGGCACTGTTCTAGCGCAGGAGGCACAGCAGTGAAAACAAGAGCTCAAATCCCAGCCCTCCTGGAGCTGACACTGATATAGGAAGATTTAAAGTACAAAGGACAGAAATGCATCTGTTTCACACTGATACGTGGTACACAACAATCAGTGAGTGAGGTGAAGGGGATGGGGAGTAACAGGGCAGCGCCCCAGGTACAACAATCCTGCTTCCTCTGCCGCTCAGCTGCCTTCCTCTGGGTCTCCCTGCTTGCCTGTTGTCTGGCTGTACCAAGTGCACTCACGGTCACCATCTGTTCTCTCTGGGAGTGGGACCCGTGCCAACTCCAGCTTCTGGCTCTTGGCACAGAGCCCAGGAGCAAGGGAACTCTGGGCCACCCCACATCAGGAGGGGAGTCCTCTAGGTTCTATGATGGACTGGTGAGATGAAGGGCTACTGGGAAGGTGAAGCCAGTGCCAGCAGGGTGGGCCCCCTGGAGGAGGTGGAGGCCTGCAGGAAGAGGAGAGTCCCCTAATAGGGACTGATGGAGGTGGATGTAGAGGATAAAACAAGCACCACCAAACAGTGCTACTTTGGCAGACTTTGGGTAAATGTTGGACACTTGTTGCTGAATGTTACCTAAGTGCTTTATCTTATCACACCTAGGAAACAGGAAATCGACCCCATTTCACGCGGTAAAGTAATCAGGGTTCAGACAGAGGATGCCACTGCCCAGAGGTCACACAGCAAATATCTTGAACATCCTGGAAAGGAATTCAGGTCAGTGTGGGTCCAAACACTGACTCCTAACCTCTACCTGTACCTCCTGAGCATCAGCGCGTCATCCCACCACTGCCTCCCCCCTCCCACCCCCACCCCCAGCTTCTGCCTGGGCTGGCAGGTGAGGACTGCTGTCCTGGGTTACCATCCGCGGGGTCCAGCACAGGTTGTTTGCCTCGGCCAAGTGAGCTTCAATTTCTTTATCTGCAAACTAGGGATAGAAATAGAGCTCCTTAGAGAAAGCGATGTGAGGAGTATCCGATACTGGGCCGGAGAGTCCGCGCTTGGTGAGCAGCCGCACGCTTAGCCGATTACCTCGCCTCTCTGCGCCAGTTTCCTCCAGTGCAACAGGACAGGGAAGGCTCCTGCGTCTCAGGCTGTGCCAGGAATAAATGCGTACGTGTACATGCAGAGCTTTGGAACAGTCTACCTGTTAGCCCTGGCTGCCGTTGTTAGTGTGTGTGTGTGTGTGTGTGTGTGTGTGTGTCTGTATGTGTGTGTGTAGGCGGGGCCAAGCCAGCAAGGCCCTGGAGAATGGGGTGGGGGTCCCCTTCTCCGCCCCGTTGCGCGTGCAAGGTCGAGTGTCCTCAGAGATTAGGGACCCCCGCTTGTACTCGCACGCCCGGGGTGGCAGATGCGGCCGCCAAGGCCCTCTCCCGGGTTAGCAGAGGGCGGGGCTCGCCCCGCCCCCATCTCCGCCCCCGCGCTCTGCGGGCGGCAGGTGGGGGCCTTCGGGGGTGGGTAACCGAGTGCAGATCCAGCGCCCCACAGGCCGGGGTCGCCAGGGAGCGCCAAGCTCATTGAGCCCCCACTACTGACGGGAAGCAGGGTTGAGGCGGGTGTTGGTGCAGGGGGCTAAGGAGGTCCCTCTGCCTGAGGGTTGGTGAGTGAGAGTTGGGGAGCACCGCCTCTATCTGGGGATGGGGAGGCAAGCCTTTGATGAGGAAACCGGCTCTAGCCAGGGCAGGATTGAGGGCAGGAGGCTTGCGTGGGGATCGAAGGGTGAGACCATTCCTTTTTGGTTGAGTTGAAGGTGCACCTCTGTGGTGTGATGGGTTGGGGATGTTATGGAGGTGTCTGTAAAGGTGAATTCACTGCTGGTGCTTAGGGAGCTGTGGGTGGAGTAGGGGAGGGATGCTGGACTGGCTTTGGGAGCAGATGTGCAAGGGAATGATGGAAAAAGGGGAGTGTGTCAGGTGCTTTTGTGAGAAACCTGTGAATATGTGTGCAAATGTGGAGATCTGAATGGGGAGGGGAGAGTGGGGGCGCAATTAGGAGTGTGCAAGAAGTCACTTGGAATGAGTGTTGGTATGAAAATTGGGGGCTCCAGAGGGGTGTCTTCTGGGAGCTCATGTTGTTTGGGCGAAGTGTGCAAGGAGTCCCTTATGTGGGGGTGCAGCCTGCCTCAGTGGGTGGGTGTGGCAGGGGACTTGGGCATTCAGTGTGTGCACGGTGGGGTATGCACAGAGGGTGTGCAGGCTGGAGCTAAGGATGAAGGGTCACTGAGGATGGGGCTGGGGGAGGGGTGGACAGGTATAGCCCAGGGGCAGCTTCCAATAGTCCGGAGTAAGCAATAGACTTGGTTTTTGCCTGAGGAAAAGCCCGGAACTAAATGGGTGTGAGGGTCACTGATCAGGCAAGTCTCTGCCTAGAGCCTCTTCTGCAGGAGTCAGAGGAGGAAGGTGAGACTTCTGATACCTTGCCTTTTCTTTTCCTTTGCCCCCAGGAAATCCTCTGGGAACCTCTCCCCAGTCATGGACAGCTGCAGTCTTCCAGAGCTCCAGAAGCCTCTGCTGGCAGGTGCAGGCCGTGAGCCTCCTGTCCAGAACCCTGGTGAGCGTGAGCCAGGCCCCCCTCTCCGGGAGACAGCCTTTGCTGAGTCGCCGAGGGCTTGGCCGTTCCTACCATCACTTCCATCTGTGAGCGCTGGCCTGGGGGAGCCAGGGCACCCAGACCCCGAGGTAGGAGAAAGGGGCTAGGGAGTCCAGCTGTGGTCAACATCGGCAGGCTAGCTGCTAGGGAATCTGCCTCTAGCTTAGACTCACTCCACTTTTCCTTTTTTCCACTGTCCTCCATTCCCCCTGGCTCCTTTACTTTTTTCTCTGCCTCTCATCTTCATTCCCTCCCTTTGGCCCTTTGTCTCCCCTCTGGTATCTGACACCCCCGTTCTCTCCCCATCACTCTCTCCCCAAAGCTGATGTACCTCTGACTGTTGTCAGTCTTGTTTCTCCCCGCAAATTAGTATTACTTTTTTTCTTTTAAAGATTTATTTATTCATGCATATAAGAACCAGGGTACAGGCCAGATGTGCGGGAGGGTGAGAGGATCTACCAGAGACAGAGTGGGGAACAGAACTGGCAGACTGACTGAAATACACTGCTGAGGGGAGCAGCGGGCGAGACAGGAGAGGTCTGCCGCGCCATGTGGGATTCTCGCCCGCCGGCCAGGATGGAAAACCGGTGCTGCGGAGGCTGTGGACAGTTTCACAGCACTGTGCTCAACTGCCTGCGCCACCAGGGAAGGCCCCCCAAATTAGTATTACTTTCTATAATTCCTTGCACATATTTTTTAATCTATGGTGGGGGCCCTTTTTAGCTGGGTCCCCTGAAGTTTTGTTTTTTAAAAGATTTACTTATTTATGCATACAAGAATTAGGGTGTAGGCCAGAGGTGGGGGATGGTGAGAGGACCCACCAGAGACAGAGTGGGGAACAGAACAGGCGGATCGGCTGAAATACACTGCTGAGAGGAGCAGTGGGTGAGAGAGGAAAGGTCTGCTGCGCCATGTGGGTCAGCTCCCTGGCTGGGGATCAAACTCATGCTGCAGTGGCAGGTGACAGCTTGATGGTGTTGAGACTTTAACCTCTGTGCCACCAGAGGCCCCTTTTATTTCTTTTTTTTTTAAATGTATTTATTTATTTTTTAATAGAGGCATGTTTTTTTAGTTATTTGTTTATTTGTTTGTTTTGTTTATTTGTACATGCACGGGGTACATTCAGAAGTGCAGGAGTGTGAGAGAATTCACAAGAGCGGGGAGCAGAGCAGGCAGAAGGACCGAAGTACACTGCTGAGGGGAGCAGTGGGCGGCAGGAGAGGTCTGCGCGCCATGTGGGACCCTCCTCTGGTGGCCGGGGAGCAGCCGGGGATCGAACTGGCGCTGCAGGGGCTGCGGGCAGCTTCGCAACCCAGCGCTCAACCGCTGTGCCACTGGGGAGGCCCCCCTTTTATTTCTTAAACAGGTTTTTTGGTTACTATTGCAGGATATGAAACCACTGCAACATTTAGTAGCTTATGCCAGCAGTCATCACCTTGCATGGTTTCTGTGAGTCAGGCATTCTGCCTCAGGGTCTTTTATGAGGTAGCACTTGGCCAGAGGCTAGAGCTGGAGCAGTCAGGGGCTGGGCATCTCCATGTAGTCTTGGGGCTTCCACGTGGTCTCTCCATGTGGGCTGGTTTGGGCTTCCTCACGTCATGGTGGCTTCAGGGCAGTCAGACACCTTCAGCATGAGTGTTTCAGCAAAGAACCCGCCCAACCATTTGACTTTGGCTTAAAAGTCTTGTGACAGAATAGTACCACATTCTGTCAACCAGGAGTGAGCCACAGACTGCCCTATTCAAGGAAAGGGGACACAGACCTCACCCCAACAGAGTATTGGACTCACACTGTAAAAACAGGCGGGATGGGAGAGACTGTTTTGGCCATTGTTTTTGAAGTGTCTGCTACCTGGTGGCAGGAAGCTTCACTTTGACACTGGATATATCTAAAAGCCCATGTTTTGAAGACTTTGAGGGTTTTATCTCTGTTAGTTTTCATATGTGGTTCCCTGAATACCTGGTTGCCTTTGCATGCTGATCATTGTATTTAAAACATTGTTTTGAGGAAAAATTTATTGAGGCCTAGAATGCAGGTATCGTCTTCCAAAGAATATTTGGCTGGCTTCTGTAAGCTGAGGCACTCTTGTGAGCTACTTGATAAAGATTAAAAAATAAAATTACCTAGAACATACCGCTTCAACAGGTAGGTTCCTTAGAGGCAGGCTGCAGTTATTTTGGCCTGTCTCCCCTAATCTCCTTATTGCGGGTTCCTGTGCTCTATAGTGTCTGCATCCACATCAAGGGCTTGTAACTCAGATTGCAGGCAAGAGCAGTACCCGTGACTGGACCTGGGAACACCCTGAAACTAAATTCAAAAACTTCAGGTGGGGCTGGGGCTTTTCTCCAGAGGCAGGGTTCACAGGCTCCTCTCAAAAGTATCCAGGATATAGAAAAGTCAAGGGCCTAGCTCTTAGAATTTTTTTCTCTTGGGGTGTCCAGGGGGACCCTAGTACTGGTCTTTGGGGGCAGGGGGGGAGCAGAACAGTGGGATAGGGCCGGGTGGAAAGGACCAACCAGTTGTCTCTGCCCACAGGACACATCATCCAGTGACAGCGACTCAGACTGGGATGGGGGTGGCCTCCTCTCCCCGCTCCTACCCCACGACCACCTCGGCTTGGCTGTCTTCTCCATGCTGTGCTGTTTCTGGCCCCTGGGCATCGCTGCCTTTTGCCTGGCCCAGAAGGTCAGTCTGTGTGTGTGTGGCTGGGAGGGGATTGTATATATAAGAGGAAAAAAGCAACCAAACCAAAGGAAACAAAGCGGAGGGGCCAGCCTCAGGGAAAGATGAGGAGGAGGAACCCCTTAGCAACATTCAGTGTTGCAAAAGGGGGTTTTCACAGGGGTAGCCCTGAAAGGTGATGAATTTGTGCATGCTGAAGATCTGGGGCAAGCCACTTAACCTCCCCACGGCCTCGTTTTCCTCCTGTCAATTGGGAGTAATGCTGCCATGGGATCACTGCGTCAGATGAGTCAGGACAGGGGCATACAGCGATATATGTATAATTCTCCTCGTCACTCAGTATCCCCAGTGCCCAACCATGGCACTCCCTGTTTTGGGAATATGAGTGAATATATGGGTGTGTCCATGGGGGTGGGCTAGGGTGGAAGGAAGCAGGATGGGTTGAGGGATGCTTGGATCACCACTGTCAATGCCTCCGCAGACCAACAAGGCCTGGGCCAACGGGGACATCCAGGGGGCAGGGGCTGCCTCCCGCCGTGCCTTCCTGCTGGGGGTCCTGGCTGTGGGCTGGGCGTGTGCACATACGCAGCGGCCCTGGTGACTCTGGCTGCCTACCTTGCCTCCCGAGACCCACCCTAGCTGCCCCAGCAGCTCCGTGAACCCAGAGGCCGGCAGCCCAGGGCAGAGTGGAGACTTGGGGTGGATGAGGAGGCGGTAGCGACAGCTGCATCCAGAACTGGGGGCCAGCTGGACCACCCCTCTCCCCCATCGCAGGTGAAACATGAGATTAAACATCAGGCACTCTCGTAGCCAAACCCGTGTCTGTCCGTGTGTGGGGGAAGGTGGAAGGGGCTGGGGTGCCTGAGACCAGCAAGGGATGGGCCAGTGTTCCAAGCTGTTACTTTGGAGCTGGAGAAGGGGGGATCTCAAAGGCAGGGAAGAGGAGTCAGTCAAGAATTTGAGTTGAGTACCCAGTCTTTAGTCCTCCTTCACATTAACTGCCCACAGTGACTTCTCTGAGACTCTTTTCTCATTTGCAAAATGGGACCAAGGTTCTCCACACCTCAGAACTGTGGTGAGGACCAAATGGGTGGATTATATAGGTAAACAGCAGCCTGTCTGAGCTCTTTCTGTTCCAGGGGCCACAAACAGAATGCTGACTGCTTTATGCAACAGAATGAAGCAGCAGAGGCAGAACTGAATTCAGGGGCTCAACTGAACAGCCTAGTCTCCACTGGTTGCCCCACCCTTACCTTTCCTGTTGGCTTGTGTAGAATCCCTGGTCTGGGGGAGAAAATGGCCCCAACAGCTCAGGTACCATCTAGAGGTGCCCTCTCGTTGGCTTCCCTGAGCTGTGGCAGCCCCGTTCAATAGTCCGAGATGAGGACAGAGATGGAGCTTTATGGCATCAACACAATGGCCACCTGGGAGGTGCTGTCCATGGGGCCTGACGTCACCAAGTAACAGAGTGACGGGCAGTGTCTGTTTAGTGCTATTCCAACAGCCCTTCCCAGAAAAAAATACTACTTGCCATTTGCTGCTTCCTTGAGCTGCTCATGGAGCACCACTTCAAGCCAAAGGTCTACTGCACCATGTGGGTAGCAACCTGGCCAGGGATTGAACTTGTGCTGCAGTGGCTGCAGATAATTTTCATAGGCTGCTGCATCTTAATAATCCCTTGTGCCACCAGCCTCCAGGGGCTAACTGTAAGTAATAGCTTGGGGGCTGGGCTCCGAGTGGGACCCTTGCCCCACCACTCACTAGCAGGTGACCATGGCAGCTAACTGGCTTGTGACCTTGTTTCCTCATGTTAAAAAGGGCCAGCAGCAACGGCCCCAGCTCACAGGGTTTTGTGCATGGAAGCAGGGCTCAGAACCAGGCTCCTACCTGCAGTGACATTCCCTTCCGGGCCACCTTTTCCCTCTCTGGCCCTCACTTGCTCTGCCTGGGCTGTTCCTTAACCCATACCCCATGCCAAACCGCAGGCCTCTGCCCCCACATAGCCCTACATCCATGACCTCACTCCCTGGCCTCCTCCTGGGTTTCCCTCTGATGTCCCCCTTCCCTCCAGGAGACCACAATTAATGTAAATTTGCCCTCTCCTAACTAACTCTTCCAAGCCCTCTTCCCTGCCCCCACCCCCCTGCAACTGCCACTATCTGCTATACATTATTTTCTTTGCCCAGCCCCTCATGGTTCCTTGAGCATGGGGCCTGGGTCTCCTTCACTGTTGGGTCCCAGCATCTAGGAGTGCTCACACACGTGGGTGCTCAACGGGCATTTGTTAGAATGAATGGAGCCAGTGGATGGGCGATCCTCAGTGTTCTGGGGAGGAGGCTTGTGCCCCAGGGTCAGGGCTGTGGTCAAGCTTTCCGGGTAGGCAGGACACAGGGCAGGCTGGCTAGGCTGGGCCATGTGTTTATTTTACACTGGAGCTGGTGGGTGGTGGCGGTGGGAAGGAATCAGCTCTTGGAGTAACGCCTCTGCAGCGATTCCCGGTAGAAGCGGAAGACGTGCTGGGTGGCAGCCTGAGCCGCAGCCAGGCACTGCTGGAGCTGTAAGGGAGAGGCTGGTTAGTGCTGGGGGCCCAGCCCTGCACCCCCGCATCACCTGGCCAGCCCTGTCTGACCCACCCAATGCCCAGAGCCTCTTCACCTCCAGCCCCCTCCTCTCAAGGTGACCCAGGTGGGGATGATTCCAAGGGTATTTCTCCCCCCTTTCCCGGCCCCCTTTACTTCATGGGCTCTCTCTTTGAGGGAAAGAGAGAAATAGAATGCAAGGTCCTCAGAGGATAGGATTCTGGCAGCTCCAGGACTTCACCAGCAGGACCAGGCACCCTCAAGAAGCTCCCATTCCTCATGGAATTAGAGATGGAATTTTATTTTTTTTTTATAGAGGCATGCTTTATTTATTTGCTGCTGTTTGTTGTTTATACATGCACTGGGTACAGTCAGAAGCGGAGGGCGAGAGAATTCACCAGAGCCAGAGGAGCAGAGCAGGCAGAAGGACCGAAGTACACTGCTGAGGGGAGCAGCGGGCGGCAGGAGAGGTCTGCGCGCCATGTGGGACCCTCCTCCGGTGGCCGGGGAGCAGCCGGGGATCGAACCGGCGCCGCAGAGCAGCTTCGCAACCCAGCGCTCAACCGCTGCGCCACCGGGGAGGCCCTAGAGATGGAATTTTAGAGCCATAGGCCCTGTGCCTCCAGATACTCTTTATTTATTTATTTATTTTTTTTACCACAGCACCATGAAGCTGTAGATGCTTATGCATTTTTTTTTTTTTACAGAGGCAAGTTTTATTTATTTATTTATTTATTTGTTTGTTTATACATGCACTGGGTACAGTCAGAAGCTAGGGAGGGTGAGAGAATTCACCAGAGCCAGAGCGGGGAGCAGAGCAGGCAGAAGGACCGAGGTACACTGCTGAGGGGAGCAGAGGGCGGTAGGAGAGGTCTGCGCGCCATGTGGGACCCTCCTCCGGTGGCCGGGGAGCAGCCGGGGATCGAACCGGCGCTGCAGAGGCTTCGGGCAGCTTCGCAACCCAGCGCTCAACCGCTGCGCCACCGGGGAGGCCCCAGATACTCTTTAAAACCATGGCATCTGAGACCCCAAATCTTTTTCTTCCCCATCGCCATCCTTTATATCCCCTCGTCCCTTCCTCTCCCCTCTCCCTTCAGAGCCCTCACTGCATTTATGAATGTCCCTTAGTTTTTGAGTATTTTCTTTTTGGAGACCCCAAACCTTGACTGCCTGGTATTTCTACATTCACAGAGGGCCAGGCTGGAATGCTCTTGGGATACCACTGGGCCCAGGTTTCTAAACCTTGTCCCTTCAGAGACCCAGAATTCTGGGGTGTATACCACTCTGAGCTGGATGCTGGGGGGCTTCAGGTGCCCCCTCCCTCATTTCAACCTGAAATTTCTTTCCCTCCAATTCACACATTTAGCTTCCATTTAAAATTTCCACCCAGGTGTCCATGGCTGCATCTGGCCCTCACACACACGGTCCCACGGAGTGGGTGGGCTCTGGACTGTGGCTGCCAGGGCACTTGGAAATGTGCAGTGCCTGAAAAGGACTCCTTCAACCTCTCGGGGGAGTGGGAGGGATCTGCTTTCCACTGCTAGGCACGCGGGGCTACCTCAGCGTCGGAGTACTGTCCCTTGGTGGTGGACATCAGCAGCTTCCTCTCCACACTGTCGAGCGCAAAGGTCAGGACAGCCCGGGCCTCCTGAGGATGAAGGGTAGAGATGGGGGACCCGGCACTTGACCTTCAGTCCTGATCTTGATTGGCCCTAAGGGTGGACTTGCTTCTCCTACAGCCAGTGGCTCCCGTAGCAAATGCACAGCAAATAACATTGCTTCATTACAGCATGAATGGAATGGAAATACTGGCTGATGTGGAACAAGTATACTTGAGGATCTGTTTTGTCATGGGCACGTCACCTAAAGTTGTAATTTCCAAGAACTATGAGGGCCATTAAGTGAGAACTTTCTCTATGTTTTTCCCGCTTCCTCTGCTTTTCCTTTCTTAGAATCGTTCCCCACAATTCCAACCACAAGGTTCTGACAGAGGCTTCCAAGCACAGAGATGGTCATTAACAGGTGCCTCTTGGCCCCCTTCCGGACTCTGCAGAGGTGGAGCTGGGGCTGGGAGCTGGCAAACTATTTCCCAAATGTCCTTGCAAGAGGAGCAGCAGCATTCTGGCCCTCATCCTCACAGGCAGGGGCTGTGCTGGTGGCAGTTTCCATAATGGCCACGGAGGGGGGTGGGCTCTGGACTTCAGCAGCCATGGGAAAGCCAGAGAATCTTTGTGCATCTGAACTCAATGCCACATCCCCAACAGCACAAAGCAGAGCTTGCTATGGGCTTCTAATCTCTGGGTATTCCTCCCTCTGCCTTTTTACACTTTCTGCTCTTTATTGTCAAGGCCAGTTCCTGCATGCAATCTGCTTTCCTGACTAGATGTGCTGGGCAAATAACTTAGAATAACCAGAGCCTTAGGC